CCCTACTTTAGCATTCCAATCCCCTATAATGAGAGGAACATCCTTCTTTGGTGTCATTTCTAGTAGGTGTTGTAAGTCTTCATAGAATTGGTCAGTTTCAGTTTCTTCAGCACCAGTGGTTGGTACATAAACTTGGATTACTGTGATGTTAAATGTTCTGCCTTGGATTCGTATTGAGATCATTCTATCATTTTTGAGATTGCATCCCAGTACAGCTTTCGCCACTCTTTTGTTGACTATGAGGGCCACTCCATTTCTTTTACGGGATTCTTGCCCACAGTAGTAGATGTGATGGTCATCCGAACTGAATTCGCCCATTCCCGTCCATTTTAGTTCACTGATGCCCGTGATGTCAATATTTATTCTTTTTTTAAAAAAATAATTTTTTTATTGTTTTTTTTTTTAAGAATAATTTTTTATTAACCGACCAATCACATCAAATCAAACCAAATTACATAAATTCCAAATTACACAGCCGAATTTTAAATTTTTGTTCGGGGTACCCATATTTCAAGTTCCGAAGGGGATCCAATCAACTTCTTGCTTCTTACTGCTGTTTTAATGTCCACAAATCTAAACTTATGATGTTCACAGTACTATCCAGCCCTTTCTTATTGTTTTTCCACATCTCTTGTTATTTTCATATATTTTTCCTTTCTCTTTGTGACCTCTGATAGTCTCCACAAGCTGGTTAGAACAGTTTGTAATCCTGCGTGGATATTTTTTTTTATCCAGTAGCCATATCCAGACGTTTTCCATATAACATCACTTCCATACATCAAAACAGTCTTAGCGTCATTAATCTTCACCAATCTGCCTCCTTTCTCAAAACCTCTGAGGAGATTCACCAGGAATGCAGTCTGAAAACAGGTCCGTTCCTCCTCCCGGCTATAAATCCTTTGGCAAGATGGCGACTCCAAATTAATTGCTGCGCCATTCCAAAAGCTCTTATTGCTTCTCGATCTCCATAAAGCATACTTTTGGTTAAAGTTTATCTCCACACAGACCTTAATCATCCTGCTTGGGTCAGTTCAACTGATGATTCTAATGAGGAAGGGTTCTTGTAAATCACATAGAAGGAAAGTAAAAAAGGTCCCCCCCCCCATTCAGTCCCGTTGTTAACATACCCAGCCTTTGGTGTATCTTCATCGTAAAATATTCCTGTTTCTCCAACCCGTCGTCTTCTTTCGCAGAAGTCACTTAAATTAGCAGACTTCACTCCCCTTCTTCACTTGAAATATGTGCATTTGCTTCTTTTGTAATTAATTATTCCAAATTGCTGCAGCTAGTGCGCGATCAGAGACAGCGTCCAGGAGAGCCGAGGTCCACACGGGGGCATTCTGCTTAGGGCCCTCACCCCCTTCTTTCGAATTAGGGGGTGATTTATGGGCACAGCAGGCAAGGGCAGTGTTCCCCATTCCCTTGGGGCAACAAGGGAGGCTGCCTACTCCCATAACAGCCTCTTAATTACCCCGTGTGGGTCGGAGAGATGGTATTGTTGGCCATCTTCCAATGCGACCCCTAGTGGCCCCCCGCCACCTAGTGGCCCCCCCATAATAGCACAAACCACAAAGCAAAATGATACACCAAAACAGAAGAAAAAGAAAAAGAAAGAAGAAAAAGAAAAAGAAAAAAGAAAGGAAAAAAATGGGGGAACAATAAACAAATAGACAATAATAACAAACTTTATTCTTCACAAATCCAACCTTTTAAACATCTTGGTTGACTTCCTCAAATCCCTCCCTTCTGAGTTTCCTTGTAATTTAATAGTAACAGCTTTCCAATATCATTATGAAACTAAAACAATTTCCAATTATAGTCATCTTATTCACTTTTCTTAACATTCTAAATCCCATTTATTTAATTATAACTTAATTTATCCTAGGCCTATTTCAAGTAATTTCTAATTTTTTATATTACAATATTTGTTCAAATAGTCTTTGAATTTCCTCCAGTCCTCTTGAAACTCCTCTTCTTTCTGGTCGCGGATTCTTCCAGTCAGGTCAGCTAGCTCCGAAAAGTCCATCATCTTCATCTGCCAATCTTCCACTGTTGGTAGTTCTTGTGTTTTCCAATTTTTAGCAAGTAATGTTTGAGCAGCCGTTGTGGCATGCAAAAATAATTTAACATCTTTCTTGGGCAATTCTAAACCAGTTATTACAAGAAGAAAGGCCTCTGGTTTCTTAATAAATGTATATTTCAACATTTTTTTCCTTTCGTTATAAATCTTCTCCCAGAAGTCTTTCACCTTGGGACACCACATATGGAAAAAAGTACCTTCTTTTTCTTTACATTTCCAACAAAGGTTATCACTATTGTGATAAATCTTTGCTGGTTTTACAGGGGTCAAGTACCATCTATACATCATCTTCATAATATTTTCCTTTAACATTGTACATGCAGTAAACTTAACTCCTTTCCTCCATAGCATCTCCCAGTCCTCCATCATTATATTATGTCCCACATCCCTTGCCCAGTCAATCATAACCGATTTAACTTGTTCATCCTTTGTATGCCACTCCAACAACAAACTGTACATTTTAGACATATTCTTATCATTAGTATCTAACAGCTCCGTTTCCAATTTGGTTTTTTCTGTAGCAAAACCATTTCTCTTATCCATCTTATATAATTTGTTAATTTGATAATATTGCAACCAATTCACTTTATCTTTAATTTGTTCAAATGGTTTTAATTTAAAACCTTCCTGATCCTCTAACAACAAATCTGAATACCTCAGCCATTTATTTTCCATATTTAACTTTTTGGGGGCCTGTGCTTCCATTGGTGAAATCCATTTTGGTGTTTTTCTTACTAAGAGATCTTTGTATCTAGTCCATACATTGTATAACGCCTTTCTAATTACATGATTCTTAAAACCACTGTGGGCCTTTATCTTGTCATACCATAGATATGCATGCCATCCAAATCTATTATCCAATCCCTCCAAGTCTAACACATCATCATTCTCTAATTGAATCCAATCCTTGATCCAGCAGAATGCGGCAGCTTCAAAGTATATCTTCAAATCTGGTAGGGAAAAGCCCTCTTTTTCTTTTATATCTGTAAGTAATTTATATTTAATTCTAGGTTTCCCCCCCTGCCAGATAAATTTAGACAATGCCTTCTGCCATTCTTTAAAACATTTGACATTATCAGTGATTGGTAAAACTTGAAATAAAAACAACATCTTCGGCAATACATTCATCTTAACCACCGATATTCGGCCCGTCAATGAAAGTTTTAGGTTTGACCACATCTCAAGATCTCTCTTGATTTCATTCCATAATTTTTCATAGTTAGCTTTATAAAGATTCAAATTCTTTACTGATAAGTTCACACCCAAATATTTAACTTTTTTCACAGAAACAAGGCCTGTCCTTTCAAAAATATTTCCCCCCCCTCATTATCTAAGTTTTTTTTCTAAAACTTTGGTTTTGCTCTTGTTTAATTTAAATCCTGCTACCTGCCCAAACTCTTGAATCAGCTCCAGTGCTTTTACTGCACTGGTTTCTGGGTCTTGTAAAGTTAAAACCAAGTCACCAGCAAAGGCTTTTAATTTATATTGCTTGGATCCTACTACAATACCTTTAACCTCCTCCTCTTTCCTCAACATGTTTAGCAAAACTTCCAGAACAGAAATAAATAGCAGAGGGGAAAGCGGGCACCCTTGCCTGGTTCCTTTCTCAATATTTATTCTTGCCATCTCATTTTTGACCACATCCAACTTACCCAGGTTCATGGTTCTTACATTCCAGGTTCCTATGCAATATTTTTCTTTACAGCATTGGACTTTCCTTTCGCTTCCAGGCATATCCACAACTGAGCGACCTTTCGGCTTTGGCCCAGCCACTTCATCAGCTCTGAATCTACTTGTACTTGTCCTCCGCTCTTCCTCAGTAGCATGTTGGACGCCTTCCAACCTGAGGGGGCTCATCTTCCAGCGTCATAACTTTTATATGCCTGTCGTCTTTGCCCATAGAGTTTTCTTGGCAGGGATACTGGAGTGGCTTGACGGTTTCTGCTCCAGGTGGATCACGTTTGGTCAAAACTCTCCACTATGATCTGTCCATTTTGGGTGGCCTTAGCTCATAGCTTCTCTGAGTTATTGAAGCCCATTCGCCACGGCAAGGCAGTGATCCATGAAGGGGAGGTACCACTATATTTACCCAAGGTACCACTATATTATTCAGAGAGAGAGAAGGAGGAACAGATTAGCTAAGTATGGAAGAGGTGTTGGAAGAGGTGTTGAACCTTGGTTTTGGACCAAGGGGTGGAGTTTATGGGCAATGTATCCGGAAGATATTGTATTTCGAGGAGTTAGTGATCTGACATGGTTACCCTTCCTGCCTTCTCTTTCTTCTCCCTCTCTATCTCCTGAGACGTGTATCAGGAGATTTTTAATGCTGGATGTTTTTAGATGATGATGATGATGATGATGATGATGATTTATTACATATAGCTGCTGTGCCTACAGAAACTGTGCCAAAACTTGCAATGTTTATATTTTTAAAAGATGAATACTAAAATCACAGTTGCAAACACTTTCTTTTTGCACTTTCTAAACATCTAATATTATAGTCCCTTGATGAAACCCAAGTCACCCCATGATTTCTTAGACCAGAAAAGCACTAGAAAGCAACATTTGTAAGGGCAGTAGAGAATTAACCAAGTGTGAAGGCTGGAGCACTTACAAGGGACGCACACAAAATGTAAGCCACAAAGAGCAACGTGAAGGTGTTTCCATGCGATGGCTACCTTTGTGCCGCAAGGTATAATGTGCATATTGGTTGGTATTCCAAACCATTCTTCTCCATGGCATGGCCAAGTTAAAAAAGCAACCACCACCAAGCCAGCAGCACCCCCTGTATGGCAGTTATGTGTGCCAGCTCTCACAATCCCATTTCTCAGAAGCAGTCATATGATGAATACAGTGCAAAGTCTCTGAGGTTTATGAGGCTTGTGCTGATCCGCTGCCTAGGCTTTAAGTTGCACCTCACTGGGCGGCAGCCTATGTAGTTTTCTGCCGCATTGCCCCTCCTAGACAGCATGGAAACCATGTGATTCAGCTTGAACTGGATGACAGAATAGTGGAATTCCCTCTCCTTGTTCAGTTTGCGGAAATAGTCTGCCCTGTGGTTGGCAGCATAGTGTATGGACCTCAGGGATGTCAGCGAGCCCATAGAGCTTGCCCAGGAGCACTGGGAAGACAGTGAAGAAAGTGACCAAGCGCTAGATGAAGTTGAAGTGGCCTTCCTAGAAATGGGAGCATGGGATGCTGCAGGAAAAGGAATAGGAAGTCTGCTACTTTTCAGGGGAAAGTAGTGCTTTAAAACAGCTGCGCAGCAGAACTGGAAGGGGAGGAACGTTTTATTGGCATAGAGGTGCCGAGGAGTATTACCTGCAGGTTCCTGGTCATCAGAATAGGATGGCTGCCTCAGGCAGCTGATTTTAGATGCCCTGAGAGGGGCAACAGGTTGTTCCTGATTTTAATTTATTATTATTGTATGTTTTATGGACAAGGAGCAGGAGAGCACCGTCTGGTTGGCCCTCGACCTTGGGTCCTTGGTTTCAGGAGGAAGGGCTGCTGCACGGAGGTAGAGCTTTGCGGTGCGTCTGTGTGTGGGGGGAGTGAGGCCAGGGTTACTTTACCCGCAGTATTTCCAGGCAGGGCTGGGGAAAGAGTCGGGTCTGAAACTGTGGAGAGCACGTGTGTATGGACATGGGCAGTGGCGTGTGGGGTTGGGCCGGGGGATGGTAGTCCGAAGCGCGTGATTTTTAGGGGGCGGGAGCCAGGCGCCGCCACGCAGGAACCCCGCCCTGAGTGCCACCAGGACCCAGCTTGGACTAGCCACTGCGTGTCCCAGGCGTCCCAGCATCGGGGAGCGGGATTTGCCGGCCGACCAAGCTTCTCCAGGCAAGGGCAGGCAGGGGCGAAGCGCAGCCCCACTTGGCTCTGGTAGCCAGGCTGAGTTGACGCGCGGAACCCTTCGCGCCCTGGGCATGTGTGCCCGACAACGTTGGTGGCGAGGGCAGCACCTGGTGCGGTGGGTTGTGTTGGCCCGGGCGAGCCGCGCGCACTCCAACGCAAAAAAAGGATGCAAAGCCTCTGCGTCTTGGTCCCCCCACCCCCCATTTTTTGGCTTGAGTACCCCACGTCCCATCCCCTCCTCCTTGGTGTCTTTAGCTTCTGTGGGGAAGGTGAGGTACAGGCAGAAGTTCCACAGGATAATCCTTGGCCTCTTTGGGTAGGGTTGGGAATGTCCCCTTGTCTGATACTATGGTGGGCTTCTCGCAATCAGTACAGAACTCTAGATGCATCTAGTACCCCACGTCCCATCCCCTCCTCCTTGGTGCCTTTAGCTTCTATGGGGTAGGTGAGGTGCAGGCAGAAGTTCCACAGGATAATCCCTGGATTTTTGGGTAGGGTAGACTTCCTCTAGCCATGGAGGTTCTTTTCAGTTATCGTTGGTTGTGATGGATGTTAGATGAATCCTATGTCTTCTTATTTGGGAGCAAAGCCTGCTGCGCTCGCTGCAGTTTACTCCTAGGTAAACATGTGTAGGATTATGCTGCTGCTCTATGATAGTTTCTTTCCTTTTAAAAAACAATATTTTTTTCCATTCAAAGTGCAATAATGCCATATTTTTCACATACACCCTGTGTTGGACCTTTGCCAACATAGTGCCCCCCCCCCCGAGATGTTTTGGGCTATACCAGGTTGGTGAAGCCTTCTCTAGAACCTGGGTGTGGTTGAGTCTATCAGTGGTCAGTGGTTTGAATAGCCAAATAAAACTTCCTGTTGAGGGAGCAGTCTACCTCTGAATACCAACTGCTGGGGAGCCACTTAAGAACATCCAGGGGGATCAGGTTAGTCCTTGATGGAAGCAGGGTGCTGGACTAGATACACCTTGGCTCTGACAGAGAAGGGATGCTCTTTTGAGCAGAGGCCTCGTTGTGCAGCAGCTTTCACCAAGCTTGTGTCCTCCAGATGTTTCGGATTGCAACTCCCACAAGGCCCATCATGTTGACTGGACCTGCTGGGAGTTGTTCAAAACATATGAAGAGTGCCATATTCACCATGGTTCTCCTATAAGCCCTTTCTGTTATTCGTTTTGTTAAGAATAGGACTGTTAAAAGCAGATTTTGAATACCAGATGGGGATGGGGATTTCATAGAATTAGAAGGGAACTGAAGGGACATCTAGTCCAACCTCCTGCAATGCAGGAATCCCAACTAAAGCAGCCATGACAGATGGCCACCCTACCTCTACTGACAAACCTCCAAGCAAGGAGAGCCCACATACCTCCCAAAGCAGGCTGTCCCACTGTCTAAACAGGTCTTACTGTCAGCAAATTCTTTCTGATGTTTAGTTTGAATCTCCTTTCATGTACCTTGAAGCCATTGGTTTGAGTCCTACCCCGCAGAACAGGACAAAACAAGCTTGCTCCATCTTCCATGTGGCAGCCCCTCAGATATTTGAAGATGGCTATCATATCTTTTCTAAATCTCCTCTTTTCCAGGCTAGACACACCCAGCTGCTTCAACCGTTCCTCATAAGTCTTGGTTTCTAGACCCTTGATCATCTTGGTTGCCCACCTTGGCACAGGTTTCAGCTAGACACTAGATGGCGAGGGTGAGCTCATGGCAAATTCAATATATTTTTCAAAACACTTTAAAAAAGTATTTTCTTTTTTAACTTTTTATTTTCAAAGTTTCAAAAAGAAAAAAACACAATTTTTTACACACACACACACACACACACACACACACATGCTTACATTACACCACAATCAATATCAGTACCTTTATGGGGTTCCCTGAACCCCCGGACTTCCCTCCACCTCTCCCTTGGCTTCCAAAATTTATCTTCCTTTTTAAACTGCATCTAATTGCATTTATCCAAATTATTGTACTTCATTTTTATCCTTTGTTATTTTAAATTACAAGTGCTATTTCATCCTGCCAACATTTTAAAATGTTTACAGTGTTCTTTACTATATTCTTTAGAGGTATGTCATTCTTTAGTAAATTTGTTAAACTCTTAGTGCCTGATTTTCCCGGTCCGCCTTGCCGCATAGTCCATCATCTTCATTATCCATTCTCCTTTCGATGGGGCTCTTTCTTCTTTCCATCCCTGGGCAAGTAGTATTCTTGCCGTTGTCATCGCATACATAAACAGTACTTTCTTATCCTTCGGTAATTCTTCTCCTACTAAACCTAAGAAAAAGGCCTCTGGTATTTTTTAAGTATGTGTTTTACTAGTGGGTTTTTTATGTGTATCTAGATTCCACCTTAGAGCTGTCCAATATTCCTCTTTTACTTTGCCAAAGTGCCCAAAGCCTCTGAGCACCTCAGGTTCTGCCTTTCGGTTTAGAGGACAGGCTCTGTGCTAGCAAAATGTTTCCTGGCGTTCTTCTCACAGGACTGTATTTGCAGGGATGTATCTCAAGACGCCTGATGCAGTGCTTCTGGAAGATGGAGGGGAACTCCCAAGCCATGGCCTGTTCCATCATGAAGCTGCTCTTCCCATCGGCCGGTTTGGAGTTGAGATTCCTCGCCACCCCGAATGCAGTGGCCCTCCCAGGTAGGTGGCATTGTGGCATTGTGGGTCTTCTTCCAGGCAGGTGGAGCTTCTGCTTAGAAGTCCTAAGGCAGGCAGGCCTTCCAGCTGGGGTTAGGCACATGAGGCTGGGTATCTTCAGAGGGTCAGGAAGTACACACACGCCCATCCTTCTTCCTGAGTTTCTGAAATGTGGTGAAACTGTAAATATTTTTAATGTCTTTTTTATTTCTTGGTTTACAAAAGTATGTGCAATGTTTCTTTTTTCAAGTTACATTTTCTACAGGTCAGTTTCATATTTTTTTAAAAAATGTATTTTTAGTAAAGATTGTCATGATTTACAAAGGTATGTGCAGTGTCTCTGTCTCGTATTCCCCCCCCACGTAACACACTTCCCCCCCCCATTTGTTAAGACATTAGGAAGAATAGGGGGAAAGAGGTGGAGGAGAGGAAAGATGAGTGGGTGTGGGGTCGGGTGGGGATGTTTCTATTTTACTTAATATATGTGGGGGTTTGTGTCAGCGTTGCTTGTGCAGGTTCTTTGCTGTTCGCTTGTCTTCCTTTGGTGGTGAGAGAGGTTGGGGTTGGCCTAGGGTGTGGTTATTCATTTGTGGTTGGGTGTTTTGGATCAGGTTAGCCATATTGATTTGTATTCTTTTGGTGGATTTTTGTCATTGTCTTGTTGGGCTGTGTATGTGATAAAGGGGAGCCATACCGGGGTGAAGGCGTCTTCTTCTATTTGTCCCTGTGTCAGTTTCAGTTTATTGGTTAATTTTTTTAATAAGGCGGTTGCCCATACTATTTGGTACCATTGTTCCATACTTATTCCTGACAGGTCTCACCAGGTTATGATGTTTCTGGCTGCTGAGAATAGGTGGGTTATGAGTTCTTTGTGATTTGAGTGGGCATTGTTGTCTTGGAAGATGTTTAGTAGGGCCAGTTCTGGGGTGATTTCTAATACTTGCTTTGTTATTTTACATATTTATCATATGGATTTTGTACAGAAGAGTTGGATTTGGGGGCATTCCCACCACATGTGGAGGTATGTGCCTGGGGAGGTGCACCCTCTCCAGCATTTTGGTGAATTACCTGGGCTTATTAGCGCTAATTTCCTTGGTGTTAGGTACCACCTGTAGGTGAGTTTCAGAGTGAGTGCTTTCCTTTTCTTTGATATGGATTTAAAGCAGGGTTTAGACCATGTTCTGGTCCACTGAGGGGGGTTAATCTCACAGGAGGTTTTTGGGGGTGGTTTTTGAAGGTTGTCAGGGGCCTAGTTGCTGCTGATTTTACTACTGGATTGTTTAAGAGGGCATGTAATTGGTGGTGTGTTAACCAGGGCATGTGGGTGTCTTCTAGTTTGTCTTGTATTTCTTGTGTTGGCAAGGGTTTGCCATTTTTATAGAGGTTGGTTAGGGGATATAAGCCTTTGGTTTGCCAGGTTTTTATCTGGAGGTTTTGTGCTGTGTGATGGAATAATGGGTGGTGTGGCAGGGGAATTAGTGGGGATGGGGTTGGGGACAGTTTGCCTATTTCTGCTTTCCATGCTTTAAGCATGGTCTGTGTGTAGCTGTTAAGTATTGTGGGAATTTTCCTTAGTTTGTTTGGAATTGGGTATGCTGTGGTGCAGGTATTTTCAATTGTGTCTCTCTCCAGGTGTACCCACTGTTTTGTTTCATCTTCTAGTATATATGGGATTATGTAGCATACTTGGCTGGCAATGTATGTTGGGGATTCCCCATCCTCCCTCTGTGGAGGGGAAGTGCAGGTATTTGGGGCTTTTTCTTGGTTTTTTGTTTGGAATAGGTAGGCTAGTTTTGGGAGGGTGATCATTTTGATCATGGTTATTTTGTTTGAGGGGACGCGGGTGGCGCTGTGGGTTAAACCACAGAGCCTAGGACTTGCCGATCGGAAGGTCGGCGCTTTGAATCCCCGCGACGGGGTGAGCTCCCGTTCCTCGGTCCCTGCTCCTGCCAACCTAGCAGTTTGAAAGCACATCAAAGTGCAAGTAGATAAATAGGTACCACTCTGGCAGGAAGGTAAACGGCGTTTCCGTGTGCTGCTCTGGTTCGCCAGAAGCAGCTTAGTCATGCTGGCCACATGACCTGGAAGCCGTACGCTGGCTCCCTCGGCCAGTAAAGTGAGATGAGCACCGCAACCCCAGAGTCGGTCACGACTGGACCTAATGGTCAGTGGTCCCTTTACCTTTACCTATTTTGTCTGAGAGAGTGAAGTTGATGTTGTTCCATCTGTTTAGGTCTTTGTTAATTTGCTGCCAACAAGGGGTTGTAGTTGTGGAGGCATACTTTATTGAGGTTTCAGGTTCTTTGTACCCTATTGTATCTGAACTTGGTGTGGCAAAGTTTTATCTTGGTGACGTTAGCGAGGTCTTTCTGTGTGTGGGAAGCACATAGCTTCCGACTATGCAAAATTTACCTGTAGGCCCAACACCATTGCAAATGTGTTGAGTTCTCTGATTAAGGAGGTTGCTGTGCTTATGGGGTCTGGTGCTGTCATCTGCAAAGAGTCCTAATTTGTAGGTTTTGCCTTTTATTTCCACTCCCTTGATTTCTGTGGCTGCTCGAATTCAGATTGCTAAAGGTTCCAGAGCCAGGATGAATAAGAAGAGAGAAAGTGGGAATCCTTGTTTTGTGCCTTTTTGGATTGCTATGGTATTAGAGTGTATTAGAGTCCCTGTTGTTAGTCCTCCATATTGCTGAGGCTTGGGAGTATATTTGTTTGAGGAGTTGCAGGAAATTGGGGCCAAATTTCATGTCAGTACTGCTAACAGGTATTTCCACTCTAAGCAATCCAAAGCATTAAGCATGTTTAGGGACATAATTGTCAGTGGGCATTTAGTTGTCGTGCTGTGTTCAGTAGTTTCCTGATGGGGTGTGTTATATTGCAACCAGGGACAAAGCCAGTCTGGTCTGGGGCTATTAACTTGTGTTGGAAAATATTTAGGCCGTTGGCCAAGTCTGATGTGAATATATTGTCGTCTTGGTTTATTAATGAGATTGGGCGGTCTGATTCTACTTTGAGGCTGTCTTTCAGTGGTTTTGGGATGGAGACTGTTTTGGAGTAGGTCCATGTTTTGGGGATGGGCCCCCCTTTTATGATACCATTGAAAAGGCAGGTCATGTAGGTCATCAGGTGTTCTTTGAATTTCCTTTAGAATTCTTCTGTAAAGCCATCTGGGCCTTGAGCTTTGTGTGGCTTGAGGTTTTTGAGGACCATATCTATTTCCTCTTGGGTGATAGGACTGTCTATGAATTCCTGTTCCTCATAAGTTAGGGTAGGCATGGTCAGTCCTGGTGTTGATATATGAAGTGATGCGTTTTCCTTTGATGAGGTTTCCCAATTTATGCCATACAGACATAATTACATGTAATGTAATTGCTTTTAAGCTAGCTATCTTGCTTATCTACAGTATAGGGTGATTCCCTGCCAACCCGTCTGGGTTGCCCTGTGTCTCTCACCTTGTATTGTCTATCGAATGGTCAAAGGCCTGGAATGGTCAAAGGCCTGGAAACGATGCCTTATGAGGAACGGCTAAGGGAGCTGGGCATGTTTATCCTGGAGAAGAGGAGGTTAAGGGGTGATATGATAGCCATGTTCAAATATATAAAAGGATGTCACATAGAGGAGGGAGAAAGGTTGTTTTCTGCTGCTCCAGAGAAGCGGACACGGAGCAATGGATCCAAACTACAAGAAAGAAGATTCCACCTAAACATTAGGAAGAACCTCCTGACAGTAAGAGCTGTTCGACAGTGGAATTTGCTGCCAAGGAATGTGGTGGAGTCTCCTTCTTTGGAGGTCTTTAAGCAGACAACCTGACAACCATATGTCAGGAGTGATCTGATGGTGTTTCCTGCTTAGCAGGGGGTTGGACTCGATGGCCCTTGTGGTCTCTTCCAACTCTATGATTCTATGATTCTATGAACCAATGGAGTTGCGCTGAGCTAGGGTGTGGTGGGTGGGGGAGTAGGGGGTTAGAATTAGATTTGGGTTAAAGAGTGGGCGGGGGGATAGATTGCAGAAAATATCCTATATGTAGTCATATAGGTTTTTATTTGGGGTTTCTTGGGCCGTCTGGCGTTTAGCTGTTTGGTCCTCGGTCTCAGCTGGTGTGTAGAGCCTTGTTTTCACAGGACTGTATTTGCAGGTATGTATCCCAAGACACCTGATGCTCTACGTTTGGAAGATGGAGGGGCAATACCCAGCCATGGCCTTGTCGATCATGGAGCTGCTCTTCCCATCGCCCAGTATGGAGTTGAAGTTCCTTGTCACCCAGAATGCAGTGGCCCTCCAAGGTAGATGGCATTATGGGTCTTCTTCCAAGAGGGTGAAGCTTCTGCTGAGAAGTCCTAAGGCCTTCCAGCTGGGTTTAGGCACATGAGGCTAGGTATCTTCAGAGGGTCAAGAAGCACACACACACCCATCCTTCTTCCTGAGTTTTTGAAATGTGGTGAAACTGTTAATATGAGGGCTTAGCAATATGAGTAATTCCTTTTTAACTAGACCTTCATCTTTTAACCAACTGTGGACTTCTAAAGTGGGCGGGATGTGGGTTTCCTTTCAATTCCCCCCAAACATTTAATATATGCTGATTTGAAAGAATAATATTCAATCTAGGTCAAAATGGGTAGAACAACATAAAGGTAGAAGCAATGGCCTAGGGGCCATTCTAGACAGTATTATCTGAAAGTCAACTTGATTTATTTATCTGGTTATCAAAGCAAACACTTCTGTTTTCTTGCAGGAATTCACATTGTGTGCCCTCTGAATTATAGGGTGTGTGACCTGTTTCTGGTTCAGTAATGTGAACAGTTCTAGTGTGTGTCCATGTCTTACTAAACTCATAACAATGTGCTGTTCAAATTAATTGAAACAATGAATTTTGTACAATAGTTTATTGTACAAAACTCACACAGAGATGTACAAAACTCACAGACATGTACATTATTTACGGATATGACCTCCACTATTTTTAAGCAGCATTTGAACACAGTTTGGCATGGGGTCTACTCATTTCGAACAGTTACTGTTGATTTTTGGATCCCTGTACCACACTTGAATCAGCGCCTGAATGAGTTTCTCCATAGTCATACAGTCTACAGCACAGAGGTGACTTTTGCATATAGCTCATGAATTTTCCAGGGAATTCCCTGCCCAATCAAGTACCTGTATTTGCTGCTCTGCTTTGAATTTCTTCCCCACTTTTTATGTGTGACAGGGGACTAGGTCCTGCTCCACTATCCCAGTACCCTCAGGATACTACTTTTCCAGCTCTGGGGTAACTCTTTCATAGTACCATTGGTGGGACATATTTTCATGATGGAGCCCTACCATGACCAACATTTAAAATTCGCTTGGCACCTTATGATTATACTTCTATTTGGTATTTTGACATTGCTTATATTAATGTGTATTTTAAACCGTTATATTTAAGTTAAACTTTTGTATGGAAAAGTGGGGAAATTTTTTTTTACTCAGAGAGGGAAGGAGGAACATATTAGCTAAGAATGGAATAGGTAACCGTGTTAGACCAAGGGTGGAGTTTATGGGCAATCTATCAGGAAGACATTTGTATTTCGAGGAGTTAGTGATCTGACATTTTTACCCTTCCTGCCTTCTCTTCCTTCTCCCTCTCGATCTCCTGAGCCGTGTATCAGGAGATCTTTAATGCTTGGTGTTTTTAGATATGCTCTAAGCCCCCCAGAATCCCTTGGGAAAGCTATGCAAATGGGTGGGTTATAAAGATGATGATGATCATGATGATGATTTATTTATACATATAGCTGATGTCCATACAGAAACTGTGCAAAAGCTTGCAATGTTTATATTTTAAAAAGATGAATACTGCAATCATAGTTGCAAACATTTTCTTTTTGCATGGTTCTTAGTCATTGACAGCGAACTTCTGTATAGGAGCTACTGCTGGATCACACTGCGTTGATGGCATTCATTGTGCCATCAACTCAATATTTTTTAAAAAACGACCCCCCCCCCATGTGGGGGTGGAATTTAGTTCACAAGAATGGTCACTTTAAACCCAGTGCTTTTCATAAGGGGAATAGTGAAGAGAGAAATGAGAGCCGGTTTCAGCAGTGTCAGCCCACTGAACAAGGCACCTACATAGGTGAAGAGCCACATCCACACCACAAACTTCAGGGATTTCACTAAAAACACTTTAAAAAGGAGCCCTAAGATATGGCCATAGCTGTTGGAAAAGTTACAAGTCACTGCACATTGTCGTTGTCACTGTCTTTTGTTAGCCATCTGTTATCAGGCCATCAGCTGCAGGGTGATACACTGAAAATATTTTTCTATGTTCCTATATTGGGACAAAAAGAGAGGCACTAGCGGGTTTTTTAAACAAACTAAACAGCTAATATTATTGTCCCTTGGTAAAACCAAGTTAGCCCATGATTTCTTAGACCAAAAAAGCACTAGAAAGCAACATTTGTAAGGGCAGTACAGAATTGACCAAGTGTGAAGGCTGGAGCACTTAGAAGTGACGCACACAAAATGTAAGCCACAAAGAGCTACATGAAGGTGTTTCTATGCGATGGCTACCTTTTTGCTGCAAGGTATAATGTGCATATTGGTTGGCATTCCAAACTATTCTTCTCCATGGCATGGCCAAGTTAAAAAACCACCACCACCAAGCCAGCAGCACCCCCTGTATGGCAGTTATGTGTGTCAGCTCTCACAATCCCATTTCTCAGAAGCAGTCATATGATGAATACAGTGCAAAGTCTCTGAGGTTTATGAGGCTCTTGCTGATCCGCTGCCTAGGCTTTAAGTTGCACCTCACTGGGTGGCAGCCTATGTAGTTTTCTGTCGCATTCCCCCTCCTAGGCAGAATGGAAACCATGTGATTCAGCTTGAACTGGATGAAAGAGTAGTGGAATTCCCTCTCCTTGTTCATCTTGCAGAAATAGTCTGCCCTCTGGTTGGCAGCATAGTCTATGGACCTCAGGGATGTCAGCGAGCCCGTAGAGCTTGCCCAGGGGCACTGGGAAGACAGTGAAGAAAGCGACTGAGCGCTAGATGAAGTTGAAGTGGCCTTCCTAGAAATGGGAGATACTTCTTTAGATAGCAGCCTCTGACTGTAAAACTTAGTTAAGGACACATGACTTGTTGGGTTGAGTTTTGCACTTCACCCTGGGGTTGTAGTTTGAGGGGTCAAGAGGTGAGGCATTTGAGTCTGGTCCTTCCACAGGTTGGGGAGAAGGAGGTGGGAGGCTGTCCCCAATCTGAGAACAGGACAGCGCTTCCTTCTCTTCCCTCCTTCTTCACTGCCCCCTTATAACATGCAGTGAATCTTCCCCCCACAGCCTTTCGCAGTCATTTTGATATTTCCACAGGATATTTCTACAGTCATTTGTGGCCCCGTAGCAAGAGCCTGGCAGTGGGGGATGCCGGGCCCCTCAATATTGGGGGAACTGAGCACCCTGTCTAGAAATACTGAGGGGGCTAAAGCCCTGGGTGGCCAGGAGGTCTGCTCAGTGTGCCCTGCCTTGTACCTGCAGTCAGTGATTCCCACCAACTGAGGCAACAAGTCCTCAGCAGAGATCTAGCTCTGCTGGGATCATTAGATTCTGCAAATAGCAGGAGCATGAAGAATTTAATGGTTTAGATGTGGTGATTATTGCTTTGGTGTTCCTGATTATTCTGTTAGCGCTTCTGTTATTTTTTCCAATATTTCTTTCACACTACATTACTTGTTTTGCCATGGAACTATGTTTTCCCCATCTTTTACAAAGGAAATGGGGCTGCTGCAGTTGGAAAGATGCCTTACATGGTCATATGGCACAAATGGTTGGAGCCCCATGGTACTAAAGTTTAAGACACGCCTGCAAGGAGCACTCTGAATGTTCTGCCATTGGGGGGCAATCAAGCTGCAGAAAGTTTTAGCTTTCTCTGTCCCTATGTGTTCCAAGGTGATTTTATCTAAGGTGGGCTGCTGCAGTTGCAAAAATGCCTTACTTGGTTATATGGCACAAATGGTTGGAGCCCCATGGTATTAAAGTTTAAGACATGCCTGCAAGGAGCACTCTGAAAGTTCTGCCATTTGGGTGCAATCAAACTGCAGAATCTGAAGTACACATCTGAACTTCCCATTCCTCTACTTCATCCACGACTAGCGGTCCATTTCCTTTGCCAGTCCCACTTCTCTGTGAAGTTATATCTCTCGATGTGACCGAGATGTGTCCTTCCACATCTGTCACATGTCCCGCTCGGCTACCTATGGCATGCGTCTCTTACAGCTGATCGTGGCTGTCATTTGCTTCCCCATAGCAACAACCCAACAATAATTCTTGTAGCTTCCCCACCGCTATTGTCTCCACAAAAAAGAAAGAAAAACAAAGTAAAAAACAAGACAAAAATGCATACATCTACAAATAAAACCATATCATCATTCTAATCTAATCAATACATACGTAAACACATATTGACTTCCTTCCGTTGTTCTAAAACCTCAAAATTTTTACTCTTACTGTATTGTTGTGTCTAATGTAGATTACTTCCATCTTTGTACTTTAACCCTGTAAAGCATCATTCATTACATGAATAAAGCATGGAAGAGGTAACCGTGTTGGACCAAGGGGTGGAGTTTATGGGCAATCTATCCGGAAGACATTTGTATTTCGAGGAGTTAGTGGTCTGATATGGTTACCCTTCCTGCCTTCTCTTTCTTCTCCCTCTCTATCTCATGAGCCCTGTAACAGGAGTTTTTTAATGCTGGATGTTTTTAGATAAAGATGATGATGATGATGATGATGTATTTATAAATATAGCTGACATGCATACAGAAACTGTGCAAAAATTTGCAATGTTTATATTTTAAAAGGTGAATACTACAATCATAGTTGCAAACACTTTCTTTTTGCATGGTGCCTAGTCACTGATCTAAGTGACAGCGGATGGCTGTATAGGAGCTACTGCTGGATCAAACTAGGTTGATGGCATTCACCCAATATTTTTTAAAAAACGACCCCCCCCAATGTGGGGTGGAATTTAGTTCACAAGAATGGTCAATTTCAACCCGGTGCTTTTCATAAACAAGGGGAATAGTGAAGAGAGAAATGAGAGCTGGTTTCAGCCTTGTCAGCCCATTGAACAAGGCACCTACATAGGTGAAGAGCCACATCCACACCACAAACTTCAGGGTTTTCACTAAAAACAATTTTAAAAGGAGCCCTAAGATATGGCCATAGCTGTTGGAAAAGTTACGAGTCACTGCACATTGTTTTTGTCATTGTCTTTTGTTAGCCATCTGTTATCAGGCCATCAACTACAGGGTCATAAACTGAAAGTATTTTTATATGCTCCTATATTGGGACAAAAAGAGAGAGGCACTAGCGGGTTTTTTAAACAAACTAAACAGCTAATATTATTGTCCCTTGGTAAAACCATGTTACCCCATGATTTCTTAGACCAAAAAAGCACCAGAAAAGCAACGTTTGTAAGGGCATTTCTCAGAAGCAGTTATTTGATGAATACAGTGCAAAGTCTCTGAGGTTTATGAGGCTTGTGCTGATCCGCTGCCTAGGCTTTAAGTTGCACCTCACTGGGTGGCAACCTATGTAGTTTTCTGCTGCATTGCCCCTCCTAGACAGCATGGAAATCATGTGATTCAGCTTGGACCAGATGACAAAGTAGTGGAATTCCCTCTCCTTGTTCATCTTGCAGAAATAGTCTGGGAGATACTTCTTTAGATAGCAGCCTCTGACTGTAATACTCAGTTAAGGGCACATGACTTGTGGGGTTGAGGTTTGCTCTTCACCCTGGGGTTGTAGCTTGGACATTTGCTGAGGGGTCAAGAGGTGAGGAATTTGAGTCTGGTCCTTCTACAGGTTGGGAAGAAGGAGGTGGGAGGCTGTCCCCAATCTGAGAACAGGACAGCCTTCCTTCTCTTTCCTCCTTCTTCACTGCCCCCTTATAATATGCAGTGAATCTTATGTCTTCCCTCCACAGCCTTTCCCAGTCGTTTTGATATTTCTCCAGGAAACCCTATTTTTCTTGTCTTTCATTCAGTTGGAAGTTTTGGAGCTAGTGTGCCAAATATATATGGATTTCAAAGTTCTTAATTTATTAATTTTCATTAGATTCTGCAAATCATTAGATTCTGCAAATAGCAGGAGCATGAAGAATTTATTTTTTCCGTTTCCATTTAAAGCAATCTATAAATAAGGAAATTCAATGAACCACCTCAAGAAGTCATTCAAATAAGTTTGCAGGCTGCATGCAGTTCCATGCTTTCTCTTGTTACTGTTTTTTTTTAAAAAATAGTAATATCACAGAGCCCAAGAGGGAGTCTCAAGGAGGAAGTATCTCTTTGCTTCAGTTTCACGTTGACTCCTGAGTTGTTTGGTTCACACAAGTGCTTGTTCCAACGGCGGCTGCTTCGCACTGCAGATCTGGAAGACGGGATTTTGCTGTGCAACGCTTTTGTGGAAAGGTCACTTACTGGCAACATTCACTGAGCACTGAGAGAGATAAAAAGCTGCAATCCAGTGACCGCCTCGATGGTACGGTGGGGGGGGGGGAACACCCTGCTCACAGACCTGCACTGGATCCCACCATGCAGGGGCGAGGGAGAAAAAGGACAGAGCCATAGCACTCTGACTGGGGATCCTTGCCCAGGGAAAACGAGATGCCAAACTGCACCCACATCCAACGTCTGGGTTGACATTCACCAAGTACATCTTTCTGCATGCAAGCATTCTTGGATCCTGGCCTGTAGCTTTTTCGGCTAGTCCTTTATTTAGATATGGTGTGTGACTATGGGTTTTTTTGGGGGGGGCGAGGGTGTTCCACTTTTCCCATGTGAGGTACAAAAAATAATAATATTTAACCATTTCCCCCCTACGTACATGTTGAAGTAGAATCGATAACTGGTTAGCGTATGTACAAAATCTTTACAGAATTCTATCTTGGAGCTTTAAAAAATATAAATATGGATATTGTTCAAGACAGCAGGTCTCTCATTAATATTTTAATGAAGGTTTCATTATTGTATGTTCTTCATTATTTTAACGACTGTCAGGTGCTCAGAGGGGGGAGGGGGGGCAAGACTCCTTCAGCAGGGACAGCTTGAGTTTATTTATAATTAGCTACTGACCTCCCTCCTGCCAGTCTCTTCTGCATCTTGCTTGGCCACAAGAATCCAATGTATTCCAAACAGATTTAAATCGTGATCTCCGGGAGAAGATGATGAAGAAAAAGAAATCTTTCCATGCTGTTTATTCCCCCCCACCACCCCAACATTAATTAAAAAATAATAATTAAATCCTCCCTCAATTATTATTTTTTTAAAAAAAAGTTAAAAGAGATTTCTGATTAAATAATTCTGAGAAGAAAAGGTTTGATGCAGCCGCGTCTGGAAGGGTCAGAGTGAAGATGCTGGTGCAGGAGGTCAGCTGGTCCCGGTGGCTGATGGAGGTTCTGCTCCCTTTCTGCTGCTAAGCACGAAGTCCGTGGGGAGGCTCTCCAGAAGGCACTTGAGCTGTTCCTGCCCTAGCTTGATCTTGTCGTCCAGCTCGCGCTGTTCTATGAGCAGACCAGATTTCATCTTCACGAAATGCTGGTAGTCTCGAAGCTGCTCCCCCGAGAGGTAATTGCATAGGATGTCCAAGACCACGTGCTCTCACCGGTCCAGGTTCTCCTTCAGCTCGCGGGCGTCTTCGTGCTGGCCAGCCAGCATCTTCCGCTTCTCGTTCAGAGAGCTCCGTTCTTGGTTATCAACATCCCCACTGTCACATGTCCCGCTCCGCTACCTATGGCGTGTGTCTCTTGCAGCTGATGGTGGCTGTCATTTGCATCCCCATAACAGCAACCCAACGGAGGATGTTGGCCCCCTCAATATTGGGGGCATTGAGCCCCCATGGCCAGGATTCAACCCAGAGGGGGATGAATTTTATTATCTGTGTTTTCCAATAATTTTTGTAGCTTCCCCACCGCTATCGTCTCCACCAGTTTGCCCCAGATTTGGAGGGGGGAGGTTAATTTATTATATACAGTGGTGCCTCGCAAGACGAAAAGAATCCGTTCTGGGAGTCTCTTCGTCTAGCGGTTTTTTCGTCTTGCGAAGCAAGCCCATTGATGGGATTAGCGGATTAGCGCTATTAGCGGCTTTTAGCGGCTTTTAGCGGCTTTTAGCGGCTTTTAGCAGCTTATCAGCTTATCGGATAAGCAGATAAGCGGCTTAGCGACTTAGAAAAAGAGCGGGAAAAGGGGGAAAAAAACCCAGGAACTCGCAAGACATTTTCGTCTTGCGAAGCAAGCCCATAGCAGATTCGTTTTGCGAGGCACCTCCAAAACGGAAAACTCTTTCGTCTAGCGAGTTTTCCGTCTTGCGAGGCATTCGTCTTGCGGGGCACCACTGTACATAATTTGCTTTCAGACTGCACTTCAAATGTGCAAAAGCATACACTCTGACAGCACCAGAAAAAAACAATAAGGTTAACAGTTTTTACCTGATTTGTCACATTGTCTTAAACACAATGAGCTTCACAAAAAACAGAACATGGAATCTAGAAGCATCCTCAGTTATATGCTTGTTGTTGTTGTTTAGTCGTTTAGTCGTGTCCGACTCTTCGTGACCCCATGGACCAGAGCACACCAGGCACTCCTGTCTTCAGTTATATGCTAACACTTGATTGTAGTACTCTGACTCAACAAAATAAATAGAAATCCAACATAGGCATCACAATTAATTTACTAGTCTCTTCAAGACTGTATTTTCTTTCCAGTGTTTTGGTCTCCTGCTATATATGTAGAAATACACTTTGAGGTAATTAAATTTACAGAAAGCCAAAGCCAAATAAAAATTAGTTATGCTGGGGGAAAATCGGGGGTTTATAAAAAGTAAGATTTTCTACATAGCTTCCCCACCGCTATCATCTCCACCAGTTTGCCCCAGATTGGGGGGGGGGGGTTAACATTCCAATTTCTCCTCCATCTTTGCCTCGCTGGACAGTCCCATTTCCTTATCACTGTGTGGTCAAGTTTTCTCAGTGTGACCTAGATGTGTTCATCTACATCTGTCGTATGTCCCACCCAGCTACCTGCACCCTGAGCCAAATTAATTGTTTGGTCCCATAGGCTGGCTTGAGATGCGGTTTAAAAAAACTGAGGATTTTGCTCTAGTTTGAGTTGCCAATCATTCTGGTTCCTTCCTCTTGGTTAAAAGTTGTTTATTTGTTTGGAAACCTGTTATGATGAGAGTTGTAGGGCAAGGAGGAGTAAATGGGGAGCATAAGGAGCCTGGGAAGACAGACAACCACACCCACCCACCATGTTCCAGCCAAAGTTCTCAGTTGCAAACACCTTTTTTTTGTATGTTGTCTTGTCTCTGATCCAAGTGACAACAGACGGCTGCATAGGAGCTGCTGCTGGATCACAATGGGTTGATGGCCTTTCTGGAATTGCACACTTCCCGGAGGTGGCCAGTGTTCCAAAAGTGGGCACTGGCAGTTCAGTGAAATACTTGCAGGCCATTTCAGAAGTGTCTTGACAGGAGTTATTTAATAGCAGGGTTTGAGTTGTGTGACTGTACCACCTGATGGCGTGTTTGTAAGACAATCCTGGCGTAGAAAGAGGGAGGAGTGTACATATAGCTGATGTACGTACAGAAACTGTGGGAAAACCTGCAATTTTATATCTTAAAAAGAACAATAGTACAATTGCAGTACCAAAATATTAGCACTGAGTGTAGAACTTGACCTGAGGGGTTGAGGTTTGCGCTTCACCCCTGGGTTTAACTTGGGACTTTGCCAGTGCATTTCTAAGATTCAGGTTCACAAGAATAGCCAATTTAAACCTGGTGCTTTTCATTAAGATGGGGAATAGTGAAGAGCGAAATCAGAGCCAGTTGCAGCACTGTCAGACCATTGAACAAGGCACCCACATAGGTGAACACCCACACTATAAACTTTTTTTTCTGTACTCAGCTTTTCATTTTGTCAGAATGCATCTCTTGTAACTTCAATAATGGAAAGCATTCTGTGGTTACCAATCTTGTCGTACTCCTCTTCTTCCTCCTCTTCTTCATCTCAATATTCCAGCGGCTCTTCCTCTTCCCACCCTTTTGAGAAAAGGTTTGGGTTATCCGAAAATTTTACTTGCAAGACACAAGTCACTGGCTTGTTGTGTGGCCTGTCCTTTTAGCTTCCACTGTCCTTTGTGTTCTGAGGTTTGCATCTTCAGAGAAGGTTGAGTGCTTTAAGTGAGACAAAAGTTCTTTGATGGCAGGATGTGAATTGTGGAGGAGATTATACATTGAATGGTTTTGCGCCATAGGCTGTATTTAGAAGTGTTGATTATTGTTTTGGTTTTCCTGATTATTCTGTTAGGGCTTCTGTCCACCCCCCCCCCATGTTTCTTTCACCCTGCATTACTTGTTGTGCCATGGAACTGTGTTTTTTCCATCTTTTACAAAAAAAATGGGGCTGCTGCAGTTGGAAAGATGCCTTACTTGGTTATATGGCACAAATGGTTGGAGCCCCATAGTATTAAAGTTTAAGACACGCCTGCAAGGAACACTCTGAAGGTTCTGCCATTGGGGGGAATCAAACTGCAGAATCTTTTAGCTTTCTCTGTCCCTATGTGTTCAGAGGTGTGCATCCTCAGAAAAGGTTGAGCGTTTTAAGTGAGAGAAAAGTTCTTTGATGGCAGAGTGTGAATTGTGGAGCAGATTATACATTTTAAATAGATATTTTCCTTCAGGCTGGATTAGAGTTCCCTTTAGTTTTGATATTTCTCCAGCAAACCCTATTTTCCTTGTCTTCCATTCAGTTGGAAGTATTGGAGCCAGCCTGTCAAATATATATGGATATCAAAGTCCTTTCCTCTTAATTTATTAATTTTCCCCTCTAATAACATGTTATATGTTGCCCAATTTCCCTTCATGTTCTTCTTAACGGCAAATGCTTCAATGGGTGAAATGCACCAAGGGGTTGTAGGTTCCAGGAGATACTTATATTTTATCCATGGTTTATGTAAGGTCTGAGTTGTATGGCTGCACCTTCTGGTAAGGTGTTGGCAAGGGATTGAATCTGGGTGCAGAAAAGGAGAAGGGACACTTGTGTTGAGGGGTTTGGGGATACCTGGCTGCGAATAACACAGGTGCATCCGCCGCAAATTTAGAGTGTGTGCAGTAACTGAAAAGTTCCTTAAGGGCAGGGGGTGAGCTGTGTGGCTGTACCACCTGATGACAAGTTTCGAAAGGAATCCATCTTGCAATAGAAGAGGGCTGAAGCATAGATATTGCTGATGTATGTAAAGAAAATGTGGAGAAATCTGCAATTTTTTATTTGAAAAGGAAAGATAGTGCTTGAGCAGCAGCCATGAAAAGGAAAGCAGAAACTGTGGGAAATCCTGTAATTCTATTTACCTAGCATAGAGGAAGGGGGGTGGGATGGTGGGGGGCTGCGGAAACCACCCCTCTGCAAATGGCCACGTGGACCAGCAGGGCAGGGAGGACGGGGTGAATGTGGCGCCATGGCAGCCATGACGAAGCCGAGAACTCGGCCTGCTTTGCTCCAGGCCTCCATTAGCAGCTGCAGAAGAAGAAGGAGGAGGAGGAGGAGGAAGGGACGGAGCAGCCAGTTCTTTGCTGCTTTCCAAGCAGAGCACCCTTTCTGGCTGTTAGGATCCCCTCCTCTTTTTTGTTAATTAATCCCTGAATGCACCTCCCTAATGACTGCGCCAGATGTAGGACTGCCTTTCACTTCTCTTCTCTTGCAGAGAGAATGAAAAAGCCAGATAAATGTGCTTGGGATTCTTCAAGTCCAGAATCTGGCTCTTGTGGATCACTTGCTGGCTGATTCCAGGGGCTGCAAATGGTTTCATTGTACCTCCTGAAGGAGGCATTCCTGGCTGAGAGGAATGCAAATGCACCCTCAGCAAATGTGGAGTGGTTGAAGCAACTGAAAAGTTCAGTGCTGGCAGCGTTTGAGTTGTGTGGCTGCAGGTATCCGATGGGGTGTTTGTGAGGGATTCAGTCTGCTTGGAGAAAAGGAATAAGAAAGTACATGAAGAATGTGGAAAAACTTGGAATGTGTCATAATGCAAAGTACTAATATTGCCGTAGTAAAACAAGCCAAGCTAAGAAGAGTCACTCAGGATATTCAGGATTGAATCACACACCATTGGTGGGACATCTTTTCAGGATAGAGCCCTACCACGACCAACATTTTAAAATTGGCTTGGCACCCTGTGATAATACTGGTTTTTTGGTATTTTGATGTTGCTTATATTAGTGTGTATTTTATATGTTAAAGTTAACCATTTGTATGGGGAAAAGGTATAGAATTTTTTACTCAGAGAGGGAAGGAGGAACAGATTAGCTAAGCATGGAAGAGGTAACCGTGCTGGACCAAGGGGTGTAGTTTATGGGCAATCTATCCGGAAGACATTTGTATTTCGAGGAGTTAGTGGTCTGACATGGTTACCCTTCCTGGTTTCTCTTCCTTCTCACTCTCAATCTCCTGAGCCGTGTATCAGGAGATTTTTAATGCTTTATGTTTTTTAGATATGCTGTAAGCCCCCCAGAGTCCCTTGGGAAAGCCAGCCCAATGGGTGGGGTATAAAGATGTTGGTGATGATTTATTTATTACATATAGCTGGTGTGCATACAGAAACTGCACAAAAACTTCCAATGTTTATATTTTAGAAAGACGATCACTACAATCACAGTTGCAAACACTTTCTTTTTGCACTTTCTAATCTGCTAATATTATTGTCCCTTGATGAAACCAAGTTAGCCCATGATTTCTTTGACCAAAAAAGCACTAGAAAGCAACATTTGTAAGGGCAGTACAAAATTGACCAAGTGTGAAGGCTGGAGCACTTACAAGTGGCGCACACAGAATGTAAGCCACAAAGAGCAACGTGAAGGTGTTTCCATGCGATAGCTACCTTTGTGCCACAAGGTATAATGTGCATATTGGTTGGCATTCCAAACCATTCTTCTCCATGGCACGGCAAAGCCTGAGAAAGGCTTGCAGTATCACAACGATGGCTGGGCAGCCAAGTCATAAAAACCACCACCACCAAGCCAGCAGCACCCCCTGTATGGCAATTATGTGTGCCAGCTCTCACAATCCCCATTTTTCAGAAGCGGTCATATGATGAATAGAGTGCAAAGTCTCTGAGGTTTATGAGGCTCTTGCTGATCTGCTGCCTAGGCTTTAAGTTGCATCTCACTGGGTGGCAGCCTATGTCGTTTTCTGCCGCATTGCCCCTCCTAGACAGCATGGAAACCATGTGATTCAGCTTGGACCGGATGACAGAGTAGTGGAATTCCCTCTCCTTGTTCAGCTTGCAGAAATAGTCTGTCCTGTGGTTGGCAGCATAGTCTATGGACCTCAGGGATGTCAGTGAGCCCGTAGAGCTTGACTGAGAGCACTGGGAAGACAGTGAAGAAAGCGACCGAGCACTAGATGAAGTTGAAGTGGCCTTCCAAGAAATGGGAGATACTACTTTAGAAAGCAGCCTCTGACTGCAAAACTTAGTCAAGGACACATGACTTGTGGGGTTGTGGTTTGCACTTCACCCTGGGGTTCTAGCTTGGACTTTTGCTAAGGGGTCAAGATGTGAGGAATTTGAGTCTGGTCCTTCCACAGGTTGGGGAGAAGGAGGTGGGAGGCTGTCCCCAATCTGAGAACAGGACAAGTCAGGTTCAGGGATGCAAAAGTCGGAATGGGCATTGTGATTCTGCTCTCTTCTCCTTCCAGCAGTTTCCTGTAAGTGGCAATCTCAATATCAAGAGCCATCTTTACATTCAGCAGGTCTTGGTACTCGTGCTGATGGCAAGCCATTTCTTCCTTCATGTTTTGGATCACTTCCTGGAGTCGGGTAATGTTGTCTTGGTAGTTAGCTGCTTCAAGATTAAAGTTCTCCTCCATCTCACACATCTGACGTTCCAGGGATTTGTTAGTTCCTTTAAGTGCATCCACTTAACAGGTGAGACTCTGAATTTGCCTGCGGTACTCATTCGCTTCTTGTTTTGCCTGGCGCAGGGCATCATTGTTCCCGGCTTGCTTTTATCAGCCAGGATGGACAAGGATCAAGAAGACAGGTGGTTGGTTTCACTCGTCCAAGCAGCCTGTCCGCATGCTAAGAGGTAACAGATTGGAATTGATCCCATATAACATGACTAGACAGGACTCTAGCACTCTCCCGCCCCGGCCCTGCTCCCACGGTGGAGTCTACCTCCTTCCAAATCTGAGACCCATGTTCTACAGTTTATCTGGAAGAGAATAGTGGAGTTCTCTCCATTACTAGATGCACGGGGTTAAAACATCTGATCCTTTCCCCTGTTCAGGTCTTTATTCTCTCTCTCTCTTCTATCTCCTGTCTCACTGGAGAGGACCAAGTGCCAGGATCCCACACTTGCAGTCTGTTTTAAGAGGTTAGTGGCAGAGATTCCTCTCCTCTTTTGAGCAAAGTACCACCTGAAGGCATGTTTGGAACGGAATCCATATTGGTGTAGGAAACGCTGAAGCAATCAAGCTGCAGAATGTGTTAGCTTCCTCTGTCCCTATGTGTTCAGAGGTGTTCATCCTCAGAAAAGGTTGAGCGTTTTAAGTGAGACAAAAGTTCTATAATGGCAGGGTGTGAATTGTGGAGGAGATTATACATTTTAGATAGGTATTTTCCTTTATGCAGGATTAGAGTTCCCTTTAGTTTTGATATTTCTCCAGCAAACCCTATTTTCCTTGTCTTTCATTCAGTTGGAAGTATTGGAGCCAGCCTGTCAAATATATATGGATGTCAAAGTCATTTCCTCTTAATTTATTAATTCCCCCCCAATAACATTTTATATGTTGCGCAATTTCACTTCATGTTTTTCTTCTTAACGGCAAAGGCTTCAATGTGTGAAATGCACCAAGGAGTTGTAGGTTCCAGGAGATATTTATATTTTGTCCATGGATTATATAAGGTCTGAGTTGTGTAGCTGCATCTTCTGGTAAGGTGTTGGCAAGGGACTGAATCGGGGTGCAGAAAAGGAGAAAGGACACTTGTGTTGAGGAGTTTGGGAATACCTGGCTGCGAGTAACACAGGTGTATCCTCCGCAGATTTGGAGTGTGTGCAGTAACTGAAAAGTTCATTAAAGGCAGGGGGTGAGCTGTGTGGCTGTACCACCTGAAGGCATGTTTGGAACGGAATCCATTTTGGTGTAGGAAAGGGCTGAAGCATACATATTGCTGATGTATGTACAGAAACTGTGGAGAAACCTGCAATTTTTTATTTCAAAAGGAAAGATAGTACTATAGCAGAAGCAATGAAGAGGAAAGTTTTATCATATGGAGGAGGAAAGTGGGAGTAAAAGAGGGTGGGGGGAGGCAGAAAACCACAGATGTCCAGCACATTCAAGTTGACAGTGTTGCTGCCGCAGAGGCAAATGTGGCTGATGAAGCACTGCCGTTCACTTCTCTCCTCTTGAGGCATAAACTCTGCTGATGTACGTTGAGAAACTGCAGCAGAAATTGCAATGTACATGTGTGTGTGTGTGTGTGTGTGTGTGTGTGTATTTGGTTTTTATAAAGAAACACCAGCTTAAGAGTTATTATGCAAAAAGCTTTTATGAAAAGTTTTTTTAAAAAACACACACACCAAAGGAAGTAGAATTTATGGATGAAGAAATCAACCTTCCTGCCAAAAAAGGATACATGTGTGTTCTCTCTATTAGAGTTGAGCAACAAAAACCATGAGGCAAAACAGCCCTAAGACACCTCAGTTTTCATGTTCTTGAAAGTCCCCTTCACCCTCAAAAAATGATGTTAAAAAACTATAATCCAAAATATACATACAAGCTGCATTTATGTAACTTGGGGTTGCCTTACTTGGTCATATGGCACAAATGGTTGGAGCCCCATTGTATTTAAGTTTAAGCCTGCAAGGAACACTCTGAATGTTCTGCCGTTTGAGTGCAATCAAACTGCAGAATCTGAACTACACAGGGGCTGATAGCCTGGTATGCACCATTGTATTTTTCTTCAAAGGTCTTTGGGCCTGGTGTAAGACAATATCAAATTTCATTGGACAACATTGCTTTTCACACATGTATGCTTCTCTTCCCCCTTTAAAATGGAAGCAAATAAGTAAAGAGAAGGGGAGGAGGGGAGGTTATCTCTCCTACTGCTTTCTAACCAATATTCTAAATTGCTAAATCATGCTTTGAACTTTTCAGAAGGAGAGGGAAAGTACAAATACTTTAAATAAGCCAATACATAAAGATATGAAAGGAACCTATTGTTTCTGTATACAATGCTAATGTTACCATGAACAAAACTTTTTATTTATTTTTTGTTTATTGGTTTAGAAACATTGTTTGAAGCCCTGCAGCATGCAAATGATCTACAGATGAATGTTTCCCATTCCTCTACCTCATCTTCGACTAGCGGGCCATTTCCCTTGCCAGTCCCACTTCTCTGTGAAGTTATATCTCTCGATTTGACCGAGATGTGTCCTTCCACGCATGTCCCGCTTGGCTCCCTATGGTGTGTGTCTCTTGCAGCAGAAGATGGCTGTCATTTGCTTCCCCATAACAACAACCTAATGGGGGATGCTGGCCCTCTCAATATTGGGGGGATTGAGCCCCCATGGCCAGGATTCAACCCAGAGGGGAATGCATTTAATTATCTGTGTTTTCCCATAATTCTTGTAGCTTCCCCGCCACTATTGTCTCCACCAGTTTTCCCCAGATTTGGGGGGTTTAACATTCCAATTTCTCCTCCATCTTTGCCTCGCTGGACAGTCCCATTTCCTTATCACTGTGTGGTCAAGTTTCCTCAGTTAGACCTAGATGTGTTCATCTACATCTGTCGTATGTCCTACTCGGCTACCTGCACCCTGAGCCAAATTAATTGTCTGTTCCCATAGGCTGTCTTAAGATGTGGTTTAAAAAACTGAGGATTTTGCTCTAGTTTGAGTTGCCAATCATTCTGGTTCCTTCCTCTTGGTTAAAAGTTGTTTATTTGTTTGGAAACTTGTTATGATGAGAGTTGTAGGGCAAGGAGGAGTAAATGGGAGCATAAGGAGCCTGGGAAGACAGACAACCACACACACCCGGCTTGTTCCAGCCAATGTTCTCAGTTGCAAACACCTTTTTCTTGCATGTTGTCTTGTCTCTGATCCAAGTGACAGCAGATGGCTGCATAGGAGCTGCTGCTGGATCACACTGGGTTGATTGCCTTTCTGGAATTGCACACTTCCCAGAGGTGGCCAGTGTTCCAAAAGTGGGCACTGGCAGTTCAGTGAAATACTTGCAGGCCACTTCAGAAGTGTCTTGACAGGAGTTATTTAATAGCAGGGTTTGAGTTGTGTGACTGTACCACCTGATGGCATGTTTATAAGACAATCCTGGTGTAGAAAGAGGGCGAAGCGTACATATAGCTGATGTACGTACAGAAACTGTGGGAAAACCTGCAATTTTTTTGCACTGACTGTAGAACTTGACTTGAGGGGTTGAGGTTTGCGCTTCATCCCTGGGTTTAACTTGGGACTTTTGCCAGTGCATTTCTGAGATTCTGGTTCACAAGAATGGTCAATTTCCACCTGGTGCTTTTCATTAAGAAGGGGAATAGTGAAGAGCAAAATCGGAGCCAGTTGCAGCAGTGTCAGGCCATTGAACAAGGCACTCTTCCCTGACACCCACATAGGTGAACACCCACATTAAAAAATCCACTCTATAACCTTTTAAAAAAAAAAATCAAAATTTTTTTTGGTACCACAATACTTTTATTATTACCACTACCACCACCATTTTGAAGGGAAACCCTTCCAGTCAATTGGTCTTTTAGTCATCTGCAATTCCCCCCCTCACAGCAGTATCAATTTTGATATACAAAAGTGCCAAACACACTGAGAATATGTTAAGTTTGCAAAATCATATAAAAATCCTGGAATACAGAAAATCCATTCATATGCAGCTTGTACAGCCATACAGCTTCCAATAAGTTTGGCATGCCTACTTTCCATTTGCAGCATTGAACATTCGTTCCTTTATCATCTGCTCCAATTTAACTGCATCAGCACCAAACTTTCTGATTCCACAGGACAGGTTCTCCACAGCCATTTGGTCCTCATTATGGAGCCAACGGAATGTCTTCTCATTTGTACTAAGCTTTTCATTTTGTCAGAATGCATCTCTTGTAACTTCAATAATGGAAAGCATTCTGTGGTTACCAATCTTGTCGTACTCCTCTTCTTCCTCCTCCTCTTCATCTCAGTATTCCAGCGGTTCTTCGTATTCCCCCCCTTTTGAGAAAAGGTCCGGGTCATCCGAAAATTTTACCTTGAAGACAGAAGTCATTGGCTTGTTGTGCGGCCTGTCCTTTTCGCTTCCTCTGTCCCTGTGTGTTCTGAGGTGTGCATCCTCAGAAAAGGTTGAGCACTTTAAGTGAGACAAAAGTTCTTTGATGGCAGGGTGTGAATTGTAGAGGCGATTATACATTTTAGATAGATATTTTCCTTTAGGCTGGATTAGATTTAACTTTAGTTTTGATATTTCTCCAGCAAACCCTATTTTCCTTGTCTTTCATTCAGTTGGAAGTATTGGAGCCAGCCTGTCAAATATATGTGGATTTCAAAGACCTTTCCTCTTAATTTATTAATTTCCCCCTCTAATAACATTTTATATGTTGCCCAATTTCCTTTCATGTTTTTCTTAACACCAAAGGCTTCGATTGGTGAAATGCACCAATATATATTTTATCCATGGTTTATATAAGGTCTGAGTTGTGTAGCTGCATCTTCTGGTTAGGTGTTGGCAAGGGATTGAATCTTGGTGTAGAAATGGAGAAAGGAAACTTGTTTTGAGAGGTTTTGGGATACCCGGCTGCGAGTAACACAGGTGCATCCTCCACAAATTTGGAGTGTGTGCAGTAACTGAAAAGTTCATTAAGGGCAGGGTGTGAACTGTGTGGCTGCACCACCTGAAGGCATGTTAGGAACGGAATCCATTTTGGTGTAGGAAGGGGCTGAAGCATACATATTGCTGATGTATGTAAAGAAACTGTGGAGAAACCTGCAATTTTGTATTTGAAAAGGAAAGATAGTACTTGAGCAGCAGCTATGAAGAGGAAAGTTTTAGGATATGGGGGAGGAAAGTGGGAGTAAAAGAAGGTGGGGGGAGGCAGAAAACCACAGGTGTGCAGCACATTCAAGTTAACAGTGTTGCTGCCGCAGCGACAAATGTGGACCTGTTTAAGTAATGGAAAAGTTCTTGAATCACAGGGTTTGCGTTGTATGCCTGTAGCACTTGATGGCGTTTTTGCAAGGGAATCCATCTTGCTATAGAAGAGGGCTGAAGCGTTCATGTAGCTGATGTCATTAGATGTTAGGTTGAAAGATTTCACGAGGTGATCTACAGCAGGGTTGGGCAGGATAATAGCCCAAATATCTAGAAACATAATCAATTATAACACAAATATATTTCTTCCCAGTACAGGTTTTAATGGTTTTGTGCCATAGAATGTATTAAGATGTGGTGATTATTGCTTTGGTTTTCCGGATTATTCTGTTAGTGTTTCTGTTATTTTTTCCAATGTTTCTTTTGGGTAGCCAATCTAAGGGCTTTTCGAAAAGGGATTTGATCTTGGTGCAGAAAAGGAGTGATGAGTACATATAGCTTTGCTGCTTTCCAAGCAGAGCGCCCTCTCTGGCTGTTAGGACTCCCTCCTCTTTTTTTGTTAATTAATCCCTAAATGAACCTCTCTAATGATTGTGCCTGATGAAGCACTGCATCTTTCTTCTCTCCTTTTCCATACTGAATGAAAATTCAAATAAATGTTTTTCTTTTTCTTGGTTTTTTTGGATGTGAAAAATAACTTTATTTTCAAGCCCCACTGAATGAAGAAATCATAATAACTATTGATAGGGATCATACAGACCAGCATACATTGTCCATTGGAAAGACGACTAGAGGTCTCAGGAGGCCCTGCCACTCATGCACACCCGGATCCACTACTCTCCCCTACTGGAAGAGCACTGGTGGTGGGGTGACTCCTCTTGGATCCTGGCGGAGGTCCAAGGAATGGCTTGTCCCACCCTCTACGGATGGTCACTGAGAAGCGGACCAAGGCAATGCAAGCCACCACACTCACAACACTCAACACGGTGAATGAGAGCAGCAGAAAGAAGCTCTTTAAATTCTTTCTTGGTCTTGTTTTTGCAGAGTGCACGAGGTTGTTGTCTTAATTACACAAAATTCAAATTACAATATAATACAGATACTTTTTACACACAGAATATTAGAATGGTTTCCTACCAGAAGATAAAGAAAAAATATTCTTTTTTCCTTTATTTATTAATAAACCACTTATTCATTTTTAAGCTATTGTTATACAAAGTGGAGGACATGCACAATTTCCCCCCGCCCCCCATTTCTCATCTTTTCTTTTTTTGTAAGTGCAAATACTACATTTCTCTCTCCACCTTTTAAGGCAAGTTAAATGCAACACTGCAAATTGAAATTCCTTCTTTATATCTCCAGCACAGTATAATCTCAAACCAGGAATTAAGAATCCTGACACAGCAAAACTCACAGTATCAGCAGCACACATTGTCTTACTTCCAACCTTGTTGTCAGCGTGTGTGCAGATACTTTGTGCGTGCCTGTGTGTGTGTGTGTGTGTGTGTGTGTGCGTGCGCACGCGCACGTGCGTGTGCTTTCCTTGTACAGACATTGCAGCCTGCAACTTCCTCTCTTATTTGCACCTCCAGTGGACACCAATCAATCCTAGAGTGCCACTCCTAGGCACTAAAGAAAATTCTGGAACCCTTTTTAAAGCTTCCAGGAACTTTTATCTGTTTCTTAAAGAACGTTTTCCTAACACCCCCTCTCATTCAAACAGAAACAATACAGCATTATAAACAAATACAAAAGTATTCACACATCCTGCAACACAATTCCCAACTTTATAACCAGTTGTGCATGTTGTTGCTTTCAATTATTGTGTTTCTTTCACTTAACAAAAAACTTCCATCACTGGTTCTCTAGACCAAGATAGTTCTTTGCTGGTCCTAAATATTTTACTTTGAACTGTTTCCTTAATTGTTCTGCAAACCCCTTCCCCCCAAGAATTCTTGTAGCTGCCCCATCAAATGTGTGTGTGTGTGGGAAATTAACATTCCAATTTCTCTTCCATCTTTGCCTCGCTGGCCAGTCCCATTTCCTTGGCTCTTGGTGGTGAAATTCCTCAATGTGACCTAAATGTGTCCCACTCGGCTACTTGTACCCTGCACCAAATTTATTGTTTTCTCCCATAGGCTGCTTTAAGATGTGATGATAAAACTAAAGATTTTGCTTTAGTTGCCAATCATTCTGGTTCCGTCTTCTTCGTTAAAAATTGTTTATTTGTTTGGAAACCTGTTGTGATTCCCTGCAGTATGCAAATAGATAAAATCAAATGTTTCCCCTTCTTTCTCATCCTGGGTGGCCAGGATGAGGTCTGCTCAGTGTGCCCTGCCTTGTACCTGCAGTCCCAGTTCTCTGTGAAGTTATATCTCTCGATGTGACCAAGATGTGTCCTTCTGTTGCATTTCCCGCTCCGCTACCTATGGCGTGTGTCTCTTGCAGCTGATGGTGGCTGTCATTTGCATCCCCATAACAGCAACCCAACGGGGGATGTTGGCCCCCTCAATATTGGGGGGATTGAGCCCCCATGGCCAGGATTCAGCCCAGATGGGAATGCATTTAATTATCTGTGTTTTCCAATAATTCTTGTAGCTTCCCCACCACTATCGTCTCCACCAGTTTGCCCCAGATTTGGAGGGGGGGGTAATTTATTATATACATAATTTGCTTTCAGACTGCACTTCAAATGTGCAAAAGCATACACTCTGACAGCACCAGAGAAAAACAATAAAGTTAACAGTTTTTACCTGATTTGTCACATTGTGTTAAACACAATGAGCTTCACAGAAAACAGAACATGGACTCTAGAAGCATCCTCAGTTATATGCTAACACTTGATTGTAGTACCCTGACTCAAGAAAATAAATAGAAATTCAACATAGGCATCACAATTAATTTACCAGTCTCTTTAAGACTGTATTTTCTTTCCAGTGTTTTGGTCTCCTGCTATATATGTAGAAATACACTTTGGGGTAATTAAAGGAGTAAATGGGGAGCATAAGGAGCCTGGGAAGACAGACAACCACACCCACCCACCATGTTCCAGCCACTGTTCTCAGTTGCAAACACCTTTTCTTGTATGTTGTCTTGTCTCTGATCCAAGTGACAGCAGACGGCTGCATAGGAGCTGCTGCTGGATCACACTGGGTTGATGGTCTTTCTGGAATTGCACACTTCCCGAAGGTTGTCGTTGTTCCAAAAGTGGGCACTGGTAGTTCAGTGAAATACTTGCCGGCCGCTTCAGGAGTTCTTTAATTGCAAACAATTGCAGGGTTTGAGTTGTGTGGCTGTACCACCTGATGGCGTGTTTGTAAGACAATCGTGTAATAGAAAAACGGAGAAGCGCACATATAGCTGATGTACGTACAGAAACTGTGGGAAAACCTGCAATTTTATATTTTAAAAAGAATGATAGTAGAATTGCAGTACCAAAATATTTTCACTGACTGTAGAACTTGGCTTGAGGGGTTGAGGTTTGCGCTTCATCCCTGGGTTTAACTTGGGACTTTTGCCAGTGCATTTCTGAAATTCTGGTTCACAAGAATGGTCAATTTCCACCTGGTGCTTTTCATTAAGAAGGGGAATAGTGAAGAGCGAAATCAGAGCCAGTTGCAGCAGTGTCAGACCATTGAACAAGGCATCTACATAGGTGAACATCCACGCTATAACCTTTTAAAAAATTTTTAATTTTTTTTGGTACCACAATACTTTTATTATCACCACTACCACCATCATTTTGAAGGGAAACCCTTCCAGTCAATTGGTCCTTTAGTCATCTGCAATCCTCCCCCTCACAGCAGTATCAATTTTGATATACAAAAGTGCCAAACACACTGAGAATATGTTAAGTTTGCAAAATCATATAAAAATCCTGGAATACAGAAAATCCATTCATATGCAGCTTGTACAGCCATACAGCTTCCAATAAGTTTGGCATGCCTACTTTCCATTTGCAGCATTGAACATTCGTTCCTTTATTATCTGCTCCAGTTTAACTGCATCAGCAGCAAACTTTCTGATTCCACAAGACAAGTTCTCCACAGCCATTTGGTCCTCATTATGGAGCCAATGGATTGTCTTCTCATTTGTACTAAGCTTTTCATTTTGTCAGAATGCATCTCTTGTAACTTCAATAATGGTTCAGTGCTGGCAGTTCAGTGCTGGCAGGGTTTGAGTTGTGCGGCTGCAGGTATCCGATGGGGTGTTTGTGAGGGATTCAGTCTGCTTGGAGAAAAGGAAAGAGAAAGTACATGAAGATTGTGGAAAAACTTGGAATGTGTCATAATGCAAAGTACTAATATTGCCATAGTAAAACAAGCCAAGCTAAGAAGAGTCACTCAGGATATTCAGGATTGAACCACACACCATTGGTGGGACATCTTTTCAGGATAGAGCTCTTCCATGACCAACATTTTAAATTTGGCTTGGCACCCTGTGATTATAATGGATTTTGGTATTTTGATGTTGCTTATATTAGTGTGTCTTTTATATGTTAAAGTTAAACATTTGTATGGGGAAAAGGTTAAGGTTTTTTTCCTCAGAGAGGGAAGGAGGAACAGGTTAGCTAAGCATGGAAGAGGTAACCGTGTTGGACCAAGGGGTGGAGTTTATGGGCAATCTATCCGGAAGACATTTGTATTTCAAGGAGTTAGTAATCTGACATGGTTACCCTTCCTGCCTTCTCTTTCTTCTCCCTCTCGATCTCCTGAGCCGTGTATCAGGAGATTTTTAATGCTGGATATTTTTAGATATGCTCTAGGCCCCCCAGAGTCCCTTGGGAAAGCCAGCCCAATGGGTGGGGTATAAAGATGTTGATGTTGATGATGATTTATTTATAAATATGGCTGATGTGCATACAGAAACTGTGCAAAAACTTCCAATGTTTGTATTTTAGACAGATGATCACTACAATCACAGTTGCAAACACTTTCTTTTTGCACTTTCTAAACGGGTAATATTATTGTCCCTTGATGAAACCAAGTTAGCCCATGATTTCTTAGACTAAAAAAGCACTAGAAAGCAACATTTGTAAGGACAGTACAAAATTGACCAAGTGTGAAGGCTGGAGCACTTACAAGTGGCGCACACAAAATGTAAGCCACAAAGAGCAACGTGAAGGTGTTTCCATGCGATAGCTGCCTTTGTGCTGCAAGGTATAATGTGCATATTGGTTGGCATTCCAAACCATTCTTCTCCATGGCACGGCAAAGCCTGAGAAAGGCTTGCAGTATCACAACGATGGCTGGGCAGCCAAGTTAAAAAAACAACCACCACCAAGCCAGCAGCACCCCCTGTATGGCAATTATGTGTGCCAGCTCTCACAATCCCATTTTTCAGAAGCAGTCATATGATGAATGCAGTGCAAAGTCTCTGAGGTTTATGAGGCTCTTGCTGATCCGCTGCCTAGGCTTTAAGTTGTACTTCACTGGGTGGCAGCCTATGTAGTTTTCTGCCACATTGCCCCTCCTAGACAGCATGGAAACCATGTGATTCGGCTTGGACCGGATGCAGAGTAGTGGAATTCCCTCTCCTTGTTCAGCTTACAGACATAGTCTACCCTGTGGTTGGCAGCATAGTCTATGGACCTCATGGATGTCAGTGAGCCCGTAGAGCTTGCCCAGCAGCCCTGGGAAGACAGTGAAGAAAGCGACCGAGCACTAGATGAAATTGAAGTGGCCTTCCTTGAAATGGGAGATACTTCTTTAGATAGCACCCTCTGAATGTAAATCTTAGTTAAGGACATATGACTTGTGGGGTTGAGGTTTGCACTTCACTCTGGGGTTGTAGCTTGGACTTTTTCTGAGGGGTCAAGAGGTGAGGAATTTGAGTCTGGTCCTTCCACAGGTTGGGAAGAAGATGGTGGGAGGCTGTCCCCAATCTGAGAACAGGACAAGTCAGGTTCAGGTCGAAATGGGCATTGTGATTCTGCTCTCTTCTCCTTCCAGCAGTTTCCTGTAAGTGGCAATCTCAGAATCAGAGCCATCTTTACATTCAGCAGGTCTTGGTACTCGTGCCGATGGTGAGCCATTTCTTCCTTCATGTTTTGGATCACTTCCTAGAGTCGGGTAATGTTGTCTTGGTAGTTAGCAGCTTCAAGATTAAAGTTCTCCTCCATCTCATGAATCTGACGTTCCAGGGATTCGTTAGTTCCTTTAAGTGCATCCACTTCACAGGTGGGACTCTGAATTTGCCTGCGGTACTCATTCGCTTCTTGTTTTGCCTGGCACAGGGCATCATTGTTCCCGGCTTGCTTTTATCAGCCAGGATGGACAAGGATCAAGAAGACAGGTGGTTGGTTTCACTCGTCCAAGCAGCCTGTCCGCATGCTAAGAGGTAACAGATTGGAATTGATCCCATATAACATGACTAGACAGGACTCTATCACTCTCCTGCCCCGGCCCTGCTCCCACGGTGGAGTCTACCTCCTTCCAAATCTGAGACCCATGTTCTACAGTTTATCTGGAAGAGAATGGCGGAGGTCTCTCCATTACTGGATGCACGGGGTTAAAACATCTGATCCTTTCCCCTGTTCAGGTCTTTATTTTCTCTGTTCTTCTATCTCCTGTCTCACTGGAGAGATCCAAGTGCCAGGATCCCACACTTGCAGTCTGTTTTAAGAGGTTAGTGGCAGAGATTCCTCTCCTCTTTTGAACAAAGTTCAGATGCCCGCTCTGCTGCTTTTAAAGAGAGTAAGGAAGTCTTGGCTGTGGGCGGATCTTGCCCCTTCTTTGCCTGTTCCTCTAGCATGATCTGCAGGTCAAAGATATTGTCGATGACGTGCTGCAAGATTTCCACTTGGCTGATTTTGGTGCCTTGCGAGATCCTCGGCGCCAGCTCGCGCAGCTTGGAGTAGCAGTCATTCATGTCGTAAAGGAGGTTCTTGGGCTCCTCCTGAGCTGGGCTCTGGTTTTTTTGTTTTGGCAAGACTCATGGCATTTTACTGAAGGCCTGTGCAGTAGGAGTCACTGGCCGAGGGGCTTCGTTCTGTTGTTCATTCCCTGGGTGATGGTGAGGCTCTGATCAGAGAGGCAGCACACAGCTTGCTTCCTAGCAGATCCTGACTGATCTGACGGGGCTGATTCCTTTCATGGCCATGAAGGAGGAGAAACCAGCAGGGATTTGCAGAAGGGCAAGATTTCCTTCCTTAAGGCGGGAGAAGCAAGCAAGCAACCTCGAGAGAGACAGATCAATACTGCCCTTTGCTTGCCAGCCTGGTTGATTCTCTATTGCGTGCACGGAGAAAATGCTTCTCTTTGCAAAAAGCCCCCTGTATATATTTTACAAACATAAATGCTACCTTTGCAGTAGCAAATATTTTCACTGATCATAAAGTTGAGCGGTAGTATTCCTCCTCTTCCTCTTTAAATTTTTTAAATTGGGTTTTACAGTTATACAATGTTAAAATCAGCATAATCATCTTAAACATAAGAAAAGAAAAGGATGAAATAAAATCCAGTTCTCCCCCCACCCAAAGACTCCCCTCAACTTCCCCTTCTGGTTCTTTAAGTATTTACTATTTCTGCTTACATTATTTTACCTCAATTTCAAAGTCTTCTAACTAAATGCTCTTATATTATCCTTTTTATACAATATTATTCAATTTCCATTGTATACTTCGTTGTTTCCCCCTCTTCCTCTTTTTTTTAAAAGGGTTTTTTATTTATTTATTTTTCAAAAAACAATCTCTTCCATAGCTGCAGTTTAGGATTCAAAATAACATCAACAATCGTGCTCTGACCCTCTCCCCAGCTTGCCACCTTTACCAGACTGCAACTTCTTCCCCCTAGGTCACCAATTGTAAAGAATCTCCTTTCAAACTCTGCTTTGTTTTCTGAACTAACTCAGAACTGCAGGAAGGGCCCCACCCAACAGTTCTAACACACCACACACAGATTAAATTCTAACATTTGCTGGATCCAGAAATTTAGGATGTCTGGCACCCACAAACTCATAACATTGCGGAGAAAATGCTAGTCTGCCACCTCCTCTCAGGGTGGGGGTGGCAGAGCTGGGAGAGGTGAGGATCGTCCTCAGGACTCAACACTTCATACCAACTCCCCACCAAACATGGAAAAAGGGCTGGACCTTCTCCCCAGAGAATGAGGCTTGTTGGAAATTGAAGATCAAACCATTAGTGTGGGCATAACAGAATTCCACACGACCCTCATCGTAGTCTAGGGACACCCGGATCTTCCTGGGCTCATAAGTCAAGCTCAAAGGGGTCCGCTCAGGGTGGGTTGAAGCCCAGAAGGGATCAGATGAGGCTGACTCATCCTTTGCCTTCCCAATGGCCCAGATCCCCTCAGAAGGAAGCATGCTGACAAAACCTTTGCACCTTACAGACTCTTTTGCAACCCCTACAGCCCAGGTGGCCCATTCCCTTTCCTCCTTCTCCTCTTTCACCACCACCTCCCACCAATATCTTCCTGAGGTGAATTTTGCATGGCCCAGCAAGTACAGCATGCTGTCGAATCTCCCAGGGTTCTTTTCAACTCCTGAAACCTGATCACCGTAGTCCCGATGCCCTTCAGAAACTCAATAGCGGCCAGTTGGCAATTCTTCTCCATTTCTGTGCGTCTCACACGGAGACCGGCGATATCCTCCGAGAGCTTGACGATATTTATTTTCTTTTTCTTCTTCATCTCCTTCTCCAGAGCCTCCAGCTCGGTCAGCCAAAAGCGCTGCAGCTCCTCCAGGAAGTTGTGCATCTACTCAAAAGCACCCATGATCTTGTTCTTATCCTCCTCTAGCTCCGCTGGATATGCCTGGCTCTTTCTTCTTCAGCCAGTTTCAATTCCATAATTACTCGTCTCTCTTGCACCAGAAACTGCACTATTTGCTTCAACCACTGTGAAGCCTGGTCCAGATTAATAAGTTCATGTTCGCTGTGCTCTTTCGACCTCTTGCAGACAATGCAGATGGGGGCCGCGCAAGCCCTGCAGAAAAGGTGCAAGGGTTCCCCATGTGCCTCGCAACCGGCTCTCCCCACCTGATGGGTTAACTTCTTCTCTCCCCCCCCCAATTTTTAAAATTAATTTTCAACATTTATCACAAACATAACATATAACACACACAACACAAAATATACATTACAATACTAAAGTAAAAAAACACAAAAATAATAGACTTATTACTTTTAAAACTCAATTTTAAATACAACACAATTAACAGATTATATTATCAATGATATTATAGGTTCCCATATACCCCCCACTTCACCCCCCAAAAATGTTGTTAAAAAACTATAATACAAAATATACATCCAAGCTGCATATATGCAAAGTTGGTTTTTGTTGTTGCCCTTTTTCTGAGCAAACGACAGATCAGTCCACATTTGTCACAAGCGGTTGCAATATTGGAAGTGTGCGATCTCAGTAAGAAATCTCCTGACCAGTAAATTAGCATGAAGAATCTGAGTGTTCAGAGCTATAATAATAATAATAATAATAATAATAATAACGCACCCAGTCTCACACACAAACCCCACAAAATTTCTTCTTGTGCAAAGTTTCTTCTTGTTTAATACTGCAATATGATAGTTATTAAAAAGTGGGCTTGCTTTCACTGCCCCCCCTCCCAGGCCTGCAAATTTTGTTTTCAGGCCGTTGGAAGAGAATAACAGATTGAGGGCAGAAAGTTGTTTCTGGACGACCAGTCAAGGCATCTGAAACTGACTGGCCAGACCCATGTTCTACAGTTTATCTGGAAGAGAATAATGGGGGTCTCTTCATTACTGGATGCACGGAGTTAATACATCTGATCCTTTTCCCAGTCAAGGTCTTTTCTCTCTCTCTTCTTCTATCTTCTGTACAACTGGAGAGGACCTATGGAATCTATGACGTGTTGCAAGATTTCCATGGCTGACTTTGGTGCCTTGCGTGTTAAGACCCCCAAGACCTCCCAAAATAAAGACACAATTGATGCCAAATTTAGTTTAAGGTTATTGGCACAATTTTGGCCAGAATGAAAAATGAAGATAGATGTGCTTGGAATTCTTCAAGTCCAGAATCTGGCTCTTGTGGATCACTTGCTGGCTGATTCCAGTGGGTGCAAATGGTTTCTTTTTCTTTTTTTCTTTTTATTTCAAAAAAAGGTCTGCTCAGTGTGCCCTGCCTTGTACCTGCAGCGGGTGATTCTGACCAACTGAGGCAACCAGTCCTTAGCAGAGATTTAGCTCTGCTGGGATCACTGGATTCTGCAAATAGCAGGAGCATGAAGAATTTAATGGTTCTGCGTCATAGGCTGTATTTAGATGTGGTGATTATTGCTTTGGTGTTCCGGATTATTCTGTTAGGGGTTCTGTTATTTTTTCCAATGTTTCTTTCACACTACATTACCTGTTCTGCCATGGAACTGTGTTTTTTCCATCTTTTACAATGGAAATGGGGCTGCTGCAGTTGGAAAGATGCCTTGCTTGGTCATATGGCACAAATGGTTGGAGCCCCACGGTATTAAAGTTTAAGACACACCTGCAAGGAGCACTCTGAATGTTCTGCCATTGGGGGCAATCAAGCTGCAGAATGTGTTAGCTTTCTCTGTCCCTATGTGTTTAGAGGTGTTCATCCTCAGAAAAGGTTGAGCGTTTTAAGTGAGACAAAAGTTCTATAATGGCAGGGTGTGAATTGTGGAGGAGATTATACATTTTAGATAGATATTTTCCTTTAGGCTGGATGAGAGTTCCCTTTACTTTTGATATTTCTCCAGCAAACCCTATTTTCCTTGTCTTTCATTCAGTGTTAAGTGGTTTATTTTTCTTTTTTTTCTTTTTTATTTCAAAATCAAAAAATATTACAAACATCAAATTCAAAATCCATATTTGTTTTCTAACACAAGCTCATTACATAGATTACCTAAATCAAAATATATCTAATTCCTCTAGGCTTCACCTTGCTCTACATAAATACAGCGCAATAAACAAATTATATTATAAATGATAGTATAGGTTTCCATATACCCCCATTCCCCTTCACCCATGTGTGATCTCATTATTTTACTTGTTCCACCTTGTTGTGTTGTTATAATTTAATAATTATTCAATTGCTTCTATTATTACTTTCTTGCTTACCCCTGCAGGTTTTACACATTCTCTATTAATATTTCAATTCCGGGATCATATTTTTTCATGTTTTCCTTCACTCTATTCCACTTTCTAATTATTCACTGATTTGAGTGGCCTTGCCGAGTTTGTTTTGCCTTTCTAATAGTGATGGGATATTCTGGCAGCTGTTGTTGTGTAGAGGAATAGATTTTTCTTGTCTTTGGGATGTCATTAGATATTAGGCCGAAAGATTTCAGGAGGTTATCTACAGCAGGGTTGGGCAGGATAATAGCCCAAATACCTAGAAACATAATCAATTATAACACAAATATATTGCTTCCCTGTACCGGTTTTAATGGTTTTGTGCCATAGACTGTATCTAGATGTGGTGATTATTGCTTTGGTTTTCCGGATTATTCTGTTAGGGCTTCTGTTATTTTTTCCAATGTTTCTTTCACACGACATTACTTGTTGTGCCATGGAACTATGTTTTGTTCCATCTTTTACAACGGAAATGGGGCTGCTGCAGTTGGAAAGATGCCTTACTTGGTCATATGGCACAAATGGTTGGAGCCCCATGGTATTAAAGTTTAAGGCATGCCTGCAAGGAGCACTCTGAATGTTCTGCCATTGGGGGGCAATCAAGCTGCAGAATCTGAACTACACACGGGCTGATAGCCCGTCATGCACCATTGAATTTTTCTTCAAAAGTCTTTGGGCCTGGTGTGACACAATATCAAATTTCATTGGACAACATTGCTTTTCACACATGCATGCTTCCCTTCCCACCCCCCCGAAAATGGAAGTGAATAAGTCAAGATAAGGGGAGGAGGGGAGGTTATCTCTGCTGTTGCTTTCCTAACAAATATTCCAAATTTCTAAATTGGTTGATGCACAAGGTTGTTGTCTTAATTAAAAAAATTCAAATTACAATATCATACAGAGACTTTTTACACACAGAAGATTAGAATGGTTTCCTACCAGAAGGTAAAGAAAAATATTCTTTTTCTTTTCTTTATTAATAAACCTCTTATTCGTTTTTTAAGCAATTGTTATACAAAGTTGCAGGACATGCACAATTTTCCCTCAATAGGGTTTGCTCTTTCCCCCACCCCCCTTTTCTTATCTTTTCCTTTTTTTTCTACGTTCAAATACAAGATTTCTCTCTCCACCTTTTAAGGCAGGTTAAATGAGACACTGCAAATTTAAATTCCTTCTTTATATCTCCAGCACAGTATAATCTCAGTCCAGTACTTAACAATCCTGACCAGCAAAACTCACAGTATCAGCAGCACACATTGTCTTACTTCCAATCTTGTTGTCAGCGTGTGTGCTGAGAGTTTGTGTTTTTGTGTGTGTGTGTTGGGTGTGAGTGTGCTTTCCTTGTACGGACATTGCAGCCTGCAACCTCCTTCCTTTATTTGCACCTCTAGTGGACACCAATCAATCCTAGAGTGTCACTCCTACACACTAAAGAAAATTCTGGAACCCTTTTTAAAGTTTCCAGGAACTTTTATCTGTTTCTTAAAGAACGTTTTCCTAACACCCCCTCTCATTCGAACACAAACAATACATTATTGTAAACATATACAAAAGTATTCACACATCATACAGCACAATTCCCAACTTTATAACCAGTTGTGCATGTTGTTGCTTTCAATTTGCAGAGGCAAATGTGGAGCTGTTTAAGTAATGGAAAAGTTCTTGAATCACAGGGTTTGCGTTGTATGCCTGTAGCACTTGATGGCGTTTTTGCAAGGGAATCCATCTTGCTATAGAAGAGGGCTGAAGCGTTCATGTAGCTGATGCCTGTACAGAAACTGTGGGAAATCCTGTAATTCTATTTACCTAGCATATAGGAAGGGGGTGGGATGGTGGGGGGCTGCGGAAAACACCCCTCTGCAAATGGCCACGTGGACCAGCAGGGCAGGGAGGACGGGGTGAATGTGGCACCATGGCAGCCATGATGAAGCCGAGAACTCGGCCCGCCTTGTTCCAGGCCTCCATTAGCAGCAGCAGCAGAAGAAGAAGGAGGAGGAGGAGGAGGAAGGGACGGAGCAGCCAGCTCTTTGCTGCTTTCCAAGCAGAGCACCCTTTCTGGCTGTTAGGATAACCTCCTCTTTTTTGTTGTTTAATCCCTGAATGCACCTCCCTAATGACTGCGCCAGATGTAGCACTGCCTTTCACTTCTTTCCTCTTGCAGAGAGAATGAAAAATCCAGATAAATGTGCTTGGGATTCTTCAAGTCGAGAATCTGGCTCTTGTGGATCACTGGCTGATTCCAGTGGCTGCAAATGTTTTCTTTTTCTTTTTTTCATTTTTATTTCAAAAATAAATAAATACAAACATCAAATTCAAAATCCATATTCATTTCCTAACTAAAGCCTATTACGTAGATTACCTAAATTAATATATATATAAATACTCTAGGCTTCCCTTTGCTGTATGTATATACAATGCAATTAACAGATTATATTATAAATGCTATTATAGGTTCCCATATACACCCCACTTCACCCCCCAAAAATGTTGTTAAAAAACTATAATACAAAATATACATCCAAGCTGCATATATGCAAAGTTGTTGTTGCTTTTTTGCCCTTTTTCTGAGCAAACGACAGATCAGTCCACATTTGTCACAAGCTGCTGCAATGTTGGAAGTGTGCAATTTCAGTAAGAAATCTCCTGACCAGTAAATTAGCATGAAGAATCTGAGTGTTCAGAGCTTTAAAAAAAAAAAAAAATAATCCGCCCAGTCTCTCACACAAACCCCACAAAATTTCTTCTTATGCAAAGTTTCTTCTTGTTTACTACAGCAATATGATAGTTATTAAAAAGTGGGCTTGCTTTCACTGACCCCCCTCCCTGGCCTGCAAATTTTGTTTTCAGGCTGTTGGAAGAGAATAACAGATTGAGGGCAGAAAGTTGTTTCTGGACGACCAGTCAAGGCATCTGAAACTGCCTGGCCAGACCCATGTTCTACAGTTTATCTGGAAGTGAATGATGGTGGTCTCTTCATTACTGGATGCACGGGGTTCATACATCTGATCCTTTCCCCAGTCAAGGTCTTTTTTCTCTCTCTTCTTCTATCTTCTGTACAACTGGAGAGGACCTATGGAATCTATGACGTGTTGCAAGATTTCCACGGCTGAATTTAGTGCCTTGCGTGTTAAAACCCTTAATACCTCCCCAGGTAAAGACACAATTGATGCCAAATTTAGTTTAAGGTTATTGGCATAATTTTGGCCAGAATTCAAAATGAAGATAAATGTGCTTGGAATTCTTCAAGTCCAGAATCTGGCTCTTGTGGATCACTTGCTGGCTGATTCCAGTGGCTGCAAATGGTTTCTTTTTCTTTTTTTCTTTTTTCTTTCAAAACCAATTTTTTTTTTTTTACAAACATCAAATTCAAAATCCATATTCATTTTCTAACATAAGCCTATTACATAGATTACATAAATTAAAATATATCTAAATACTCTAGGCTTCCATTTGTTGTATGTAAATACAAGACAATTAACAGATTATATTATAAATGATATTATAGGTTCCCATATACCCCCCACTCCCCTTCAACCATGTGTGATCTCAATATTTTACTTCCATCTTGTTGTGTTGTTATAATGTAATAATTATTCAATTGCATCCTTTATCATTTTCTTGCTTACCCCTGCATGTTTTACACATTCACTATTAATATTTCAGTTCCGGAACCATATTTTTTCATGTATTCCTTCACTCTATCCCACTTTCTAATTATTCACTGATTTGAGTGGCCTTGCCGAGTTTGTTTTGCCATTCTAATAGTGATGGGATATTCTGTCAGCTGTTGTTGTGTAAAGGAGTAGATTTTTCTTTTCTTTGGTGATGTCATTAGATATTTGGCTGAAAGCTTTCATGAGGTGATCTACAGCAGGGTTGGGCAGGATAATAGCCCAAAATCTGTTAAAAAGAACTTATTGTTCCATGGAACTGTGTTTTTTCCATCATTTCCAAAGGAAATGGGGCTGCTGCAGTTGGAAAGATGGGTGCAATCAAACTGCAGAATCTGAACTACACACGGGCTAATAGCCCGGAATGCACCATTGAATTTTTCTTGAAAAATCTGTGGGCCTGGTGTGACACAATATCAAATTTCATTGGACAACATTGCTTTTCACACATGCATCCTTCTCTCCCCCCCCCGAAAATGGAAGTGAATAAGTCAAGATAAGGGGAGGAGGGGAGGTTATCTCTGCTGCTGCTTTCCTAACAAATATTCTCAATTGCTAAATCATGGTTTGATTTTTTGTTAGCTGCTTTGAGCTTTTCAGAAGAAAAGGAGAGGGAAAGTACAACTACCTTTGTTTAGAATGCGGAGTGGAATGGCTGAAGTGAAAGTGATGGCGGGGCTGACAGGTTTCACCATGCTACCTTTCTGTAGTGTTTCTGTAGGCATGTTTGGTGGTCTTTCCCCAGCAGCCGTTTTGAATTCCTTTCTGGGATCTTCTAAACGCACAGTGCAGAAATATGTATATTAAGCACAATGAAGAGCAGATGAATCTAGGAATTGGGAGGATAGCAGCAGCAGCAGCAGTAGCAGCAGCAGCAAAAATAATAGACTTATTACTTTTAAAACTCAATTTTAAATACAACGCAATTAACAGATTATATTATCAATGATATTATAGGTTCCCATATACCCCCCACTTCACCCCCCAAAAATGTTGTTAAAAAACTATAATACAAAATATACATACAAGCTGCATATATGCAAAATTGGGTTTGACAGATCAGTCCACAAGCTGTTGCAATGTTGGAAGTGTGCGATTTCAGTAAGAAATCTCCTGACCAGTCTCACACTCCAACCCCACAAAATTTCTTCTTGTGCAAAGTTTATTCTTGTTTAATACAGCCATACCATAGTTATTAAAAAGTGGGTTCACTGCCCCCCCCCCCCGGCCTGCAAATTTTGTTTTCAGGGCGTTGGAAGAGAATAACAGATTGAGGGCAGAAAGTTGTTTCTGGAAGACCAGTCAAGGCATCAGCAACTGCCTGGCCAGACCCATGTTCTACAGTTTATCTGGAAGTGAATGATGGGGGTCTCTTCATTACTGGATGCACGGGGTTAATACATCTGTTCCTTTCCCCAGTCAAGGTCTTTCCTCTCTCTCTCCTTCTATCTTCTGTACAACTGGAGAGGACCTATGGAATCTATGACGTGCTGCAAGATTTCCATGGCTGACTTTGGTGCCTTGCGTGTTAAGACCCCCAAGACCTCCCCAAGTAAAGACACAATTGATGCCAAATTTAGTTTAAGGTTATTGGCATAATTTTGGCCAGAATGGAAAATGAAGATAAATGTGCTTGGAATTCTTCAAGTCCAGAGTCTGGCTCTTGTGGATCACTTGCTGGCTGATTCCAGTGGGTGCAAATGGTTTCTTTTTCTTTTTTTCTTTTTATTTCCAAAAAAAAAAAAAAAAGGCCGCTCAGTGTGCCCTGCCTTGTACCTGCAGTCAGTGATTCCAACCAACTGAGGCAAGCCTTACTTGGTCATATGGCACAAATGGTTGGAACCCCATGGTATTAAAGTTTAAGACATGCCTTCAAGGAGCACTCTGAATGTTCTGCCATTTGGGTACAATCAAACTGCAGAATGTTTTAGTTTTCTCTGTCCCTGTGTGTTCTGAGGTGTGCATCCTCAGAAAAGATTGAGCGTTTTAAGTGAGACAAAAGTTCTTTGATTGCAGGGTGTGAATTGTGGTGCGGATTATACATTTTAGATAGATATTTTCCTTTAGGCTGGATGAGAGTTCCCTTTAGTTTTGATATTTCTCCAGCAAACCCTATTTTCCTTGTCTTTCATTCATTTGGAAGTATTGGAGCCAGCCTGTCAAATATATATGGATTTCAAAGTCCTTTCCTATTAATTTATTAAATTCCCCCTCTAATAACATTTTATATGTTGCCCAATTTCCCTTCAAGTTTTTCTTTTTTAACGGCAAAGGCTTTGATGGGTGAAATGCACCAAGGATTTGTAGGTTCCAGTAGATATTTATATTTTTTTCATGGTTTATATAAGGTCTGAGTTGTGTGGCTGTAGCTTTCCGCATGCAGTCCATATCTTTGCAAAACAAGGCGTTTATATGGTTCATAATCTAGCGCGTGGGACAAAGGAAGATGGCCCATGAGATCCGCCAACTCCCCACCAATCAACGTCCTCATAATAGACATATACAGTTTTGAGGGGACCCCCAGTTCCTGGCATGTTAGTTTGAATAAAGTCATATAGGTCAAGACATCCATGGGGGGGGGTTATACGCAGGGATAAAACGTAAGTCAAAATTCGTCAGGGTAAACTCTCAAGTAATGCGCCTTGGAACTACATCTCGTAGTGCTTGGTCATAGCTGCACCTTGGGGCAGGGCGATAACTTGGGGCTCATCCATCCGGATGCTGAAGTTCCTGCCCTTCATACCTGTAAGAGCGTTTGGGATGCTGCCCATACCTCTCCTCTTCCTTGGACCGTTTAACTGGCCCGCAGGGCTCCCAAGACCTTTCTGGCGAGTAAACCCGGGCTGGGCTAGGCGGTCAATACATTGTTGGTCGGCGACTTTTCTGGGGCGGGCGCTCTGGCTCTCAATAGTCGTCCTCTGCCCGAACCTCCCATGGTCATTGCGGTGGTCCCTTGTAGTCATACTCCTCCCGTCTAGTCTGCGGGGCGGCAACAATGGAGTGACCCACTCGGGGATACGTTTCTCAACATAGGAATCCTCCCTGGGGACGACCCGGCACCCACTCGACAGCTTGGCCAGGCAAAAGCTCCATTCCCCTCGGCTGGGCCATCGGCTCTGAACTTGACTCGAGGGGTTGAGGTTGCGCTTCACCCCTGGGTTTAACTTGGGACTTTAGTTGTTTTGCAAATTCCTTTTTCCAAAATTATTGTAGCTTCCCCGTAACAACAACCCAACGTCCAATATTGGCCCCCTCAATATTGGACGGATTGAACCCCAATGGCCAGGATTCAACCCAGATGGGAATGCATTTAATTATCTGTGTTTTCCAATAATTTATTTATTTATTTATTTTTAAAAAATATTTTATTTTCAATGCAAAATCATAACAAAAATTACAAACTTTAAATCCAAAATAATACTGTACAAACAAGAAAGAAAAACAAAACATACAAAAAAGAAAGAAAAACAAAGTAAAAAGACAAAAGGCATACATCTACAAATAAAACCATATCATCATTCTAATCTAATCAATATATACATATACACATATTGACTTCCTTCCTTTGTTCTAAGACCTCAGAATTTTTACTCTTACTGTATTGTTGTGTTTAATATAGATTACTTCCATCTTTGTACTTTTTTACACCATTTTTCTTTTTCTTTAACCCTGTAAAGCATCATTCATTACATACCGATATGTTTTCTCCAGAACAGTGTTTTTTCATATACTCTTTAGCACATCCCCATTCTTTTAATAATTTCTGGTCTGATTGTTGCCTTATGAATGCTGTGTGTCTTGCCAGATTTATATATTCACAACATTTAATTTGACATTCTTTCATTGATGGAATTTTTCTCCCTTTCCAGTTTTTGCTATAAGCATCCTGGCAGCTGTCGTTGCATAAAGGAATACCTTCCTTTGATTGTCGGGAATATCGTTTGTGATTATACCTAAAAGGAATGCCTCCGGTTTCTTACTGAAAGATAGTTTAAAGATCTTTTTGTTTTCTTCATAAATTTCATTCCAGAATTGTTTAATAGGTCGGCATTCCCACCACATGTGAAACATTGTTCCTATTTCTTTTTTGCATCTCCAACAGGTATTTGATTTTAATTTGTAAATTTTAGCCAATTTTACCGGAGTTAAGTACCATTGGTACACCATTTTCATGAAATTTTCTCTGATTGTATAACATGCTGTAAACTTAATATCCCATTTCCATAATTTATCCCATTGGTCCAGCGGAATTACATATCCTATATCGCATGCCCATTTAGTCATAACTTTTTTTACTTCTTCATCCTTTAAGTCCCATTCTAATAATAAATTATACATTTTGGATATGTTCTTTTTTGAGTTTTGTAATAATACTTTTTGTAATTTTGATTCTTCTTTTACAAATCCTATTGCTTTAACCTGATTGAATATTTGGGCAATTTGGTGATATTGCAACCATCTGGTGCAGTTTTGGGTCACCTTTTCGTATGGTCTTAGTTTTAATTGGCCCTGTTCCTCTTTTAGGAGTGCCTGGTATGTCACCATTCTTCCGATCGTATTTTTCTTTTTAACTGATATTACTTCTAATGGTGAGACCCACCATTGCGTTTTCAGTTCTAACAACCTTCTATGTCTCACCCAGACCTTATATGATGAATTTCTAATTACATGACTTAGAAATTCTTTATGTACCACCACTTTGTTGTAAATTAGATAGGCATGCCAACCGTATCTGTTGTTCCATCCCTCCAAGTCTAAAATGTCATTATTATCTAAGTTAATCCAGTCTCTGATCCAACTAAAGCATGCTGCATCATAATATATTCTCAGGCCTTCCACATCTGTCGCATGTCCCGCTCGGCTGCCTATGGTGTGTGTCTTGCAGCTGATGGTGGATGTCATTTGCTTCCCCATGACACAACCCAACGGGGGATGTTGGCCCCCTCAATATTGGGGGGATTGAGCCCCCATGGCCAGAATTCAACCCAGATGGGAATGCATTTAATTATCTGTGTTTTCCAATAATTCTTGTAGCTTCCTCACCGCTATCGTCTCCACCAGATTGCCCCAGATTTTTTTTTTTTTGGGGGGGTTAACATTCCAATTTCTCCTCCATCTTTGCCTCGCTGGCCAGTCCCATTTCCTTGGCACTCTGTGGTCAAGTTTCTCAATGTGACCTAGATGTTTTCATCTACATCTGTCGTATGTCCCACTCGGCTGCCTGTGCCCTGAGCCAAATTAATTGTTGGGTCCCATTGGCTGGCTTAAGATGTGGTTTAAAAAAACCTGAGGATTTTGCTCTAGTTTGCTCTAGTTTGAGATGCCAGTCATTCTGGTTGCTTCCTCTTGGTTAAACGTTGTTTATTTGTTTGGAAACCTGTTATGGTGAGAGGAATAAATATAATAAATCAATCAATCTTGGTTTAGAAAAGCCCAGAAACTGTGCAAAACCCTGTAATTCTATATTAGGAAAATAGTACCATTGAAGTAGCAAATATTTCCACTGACTCTAGAACTTAGTTAACGACACATGGCCTGAGGGGTTGAGGTTTGCACTTCATCCTGGGGTTCTAATTTAGACCTTTGCCACTGCATTTCTGAAGGGAAGGCGGGGGGAGAGAAGTAGGGGGATAAAGGGTTGTATATAAGAGTATTTGATATTTCTCCAGCAAACCCAAAACCAGCAGCAGAAGCAGGACGGGATGGAGCAGCCAGCTCTTTGCTTCTTTCCAAGCAGAGCACCCTTTCTGGCTGTTAGGATCCCTTCTTCTTTTTTGTTGTTTAATCCCTGAATGTACCTCCCTAATACCTGCGTCAGCACTAGCATTCACTTCTCTCCTCTTGCAGAGAAAATGAAAAATCCAGATAAATGTGCTTGGGATTCTTCAAGTCCAGAATTTGGACTTGTGGATCACTTTCTGGCTGATTCCATTGGCTGCAAATGGTGTCATTCTACCTCCTGAAGGAGGCATTCCTGGCTGAGAGGAATGCAAATGCACCCTCAGCAAATGTGGAGTGGTTGAAGTAACTGAAAAGTTCAGTGCTGGCAGGGTTTGAGTTGTGTGGCTGCAGGTATCTGATGGGGTGTTTGCGAGAGATTCAGTCTGCTTGGAGAAAAGGAATGAGAAAGTACATGAAGATTGCGGAAAAACTTGGAATGTGTCATAATGCAAAGTACTAATATTGCCGTAGTAAAACAAGCCAAGCTAAGAAGTGTTTCTCAGGATATTCAGGATTGAATCACACACCACTGGTGGGACATCTTTTCAGGATAGAGCCCTACCACGACCAACATTTTAAAATTGGCTTGGCACCCTGTGATAATACTGGTTTTTGGTATTTTGATGTTGCTTATATTAGTGTGTATTTTATATGTTAAACATTTGTATGGGGAAAAGGTTAAGGATTTTTTACTCAGAGAGGGAAGGAGGAACAGATTAGCTAAGCATGGAAGAGGTAACCATGTTGGACCAAGGGGTGGAGTTTATGGGCAATCTATCCGGAAGACATTTGTATTTCGAGGAGTTAGTGGTCTGACATGGTTACCCTTTCTGCCTTCTATTTCTTCTCCCTCTCTATCTCCAGAGCCGTGTATCAGGAGATTTTTAATGCTGGATGTTTTTAGATATGCTCTAAGCCCCCCAGAGTCCCTTGGGAAAGCCAGCCCAATGGGTGGGGTATAAAGATGATGATGTTGATGATGATTTATTTATAAATATAGCTGATGTGCATACAGAAACTGTGCAAAAACTTGCAATGTTTATATTTTAGAAAGATAATTACTACAATCACAGTTTCTTTTTGCACTTTCTAAACATCTAATATTATAGTCCCTTGATGAAACCAAGTTAGCCCATGATTTCTTAGACCAAAAAAACACTAGAAAGCAACATTTGTAAGGACAGTACAGAATTGACCAAGTGTGAAGGATGGAGCACTTACAAGTGACGCACACAAATGTAAGCCACAAAGAGCAATGCGAAGGTGTTTCCATGCGATAGCTAACTATGTGCTGCAAGGTATAATGTGCATATTGATTGGCATTCCAAACCATTCTTCTCCATGGCACGGCATAGCCTGAGAAAGGCTTGCAGTATCACAAAGATGGCTGGGCAGCCAAGTTAAAGAAACAACCACCACCAAGCCAGCAGCACCCCCTGTATGGCAATTATGTGTGCCAGCTCTCACTAGCCCATTTCTCAGAAGTAGTCATTTGATGAATACAGTGCAAAGTCTCTGAGGTTTATGAGGCTTGTGCTGATCCGCTGCCTAGGCTTTAAGTTGCACCTCACTGGGTGGCAGCCTATGTAGTTTTCTGCCGCATTGCCCCTCCTAGACAGCATGGAAATCATGTGATTCAGCTTGGACCGGATGGCAGAGTAGTGGACTTGCCTCTGCTTGTTCAGCTTGCGGAAATCATCTGAAGCATAGTCTATGGACCTCAGGGATGTCAGCGAGCCCATAGAGCTTGCCCAGCAGCCCTGGGAAGACAGTGAATAAAACGACTGAGCGCTAGATGAAGTTGAAGTGGCTTTCCTAGAAATGGGAGCATGGGATGCTGCAGGAAAAGGAATAGCAAGGCTGCTACTTTTCAGGGGAAAGCGCTACTTTAAACAGCTGCGCGGCAGAACTAGAAGGGGAGGAATGTTTTATTTTCATAGAGGTGCCGAGGAGTATTACCTGTGGGTTCCTGGTCATCAAAATAGGAGGGCTGCCTCAGGCAGCTGATTTTAGATGCCCTGAGAGGGGCAACAGGTTGTTCATGATTTTAATTTATTATTATCAGATGTTTTATGGACAAGGAGCAGGAGAGCACTGTCCCTCAGACCTTGTGGTGGGCCGGACAATATTTTTTGTGGGGAACGAATTCCTATGCTCCACAAATAACCCGGAGATGCATTTTTAATAAAAGGACACATTCTACTCATGTAAAAATGCAGAGATTTCCGGACCGTCCGCAGGCCGGATTTAGAAGGCGATTGGGCCGGATCCGGCCCCTGGGCCTTAGTTTGCCTACCCATGTGCTTTGCTGCTTTCTGCCTTGTGTGCTAGAAGAAACTGGCCACTCCTTTTCCCTCAGCAAAATGTCTTAGATCAGCTCTCAAAAGTACAGAAGGCAAGCATGATTTTATATAGTGGATATTCCTCAAGTTTGTGCTTCTTCAGATTAATTAAAAGTAGTGTGGCCCTTACCTGTTCTGATTCTCTCCCTATCCTCCACTTTTGCAAAGAAACAGTGGACACTTTAAACATTGCATTTTGGTTAATTCTTAGAATTTAAGTGCCCTTCCTGGGTTCAGACGGGACGCAGGTGGCTCTTTGGGTTAAACCACAGAGCCTAGGACTTGCTGATCAGAAGGTCGGCGGTTCGAATCCCCACGATGACAGGGTGAGCTCCCATTGCTCGGTCCCTGCTCCTGCCAACCTAGCAGTTCAAAAGCACATCAAAGTGCAAGTAGATAAATAGTGCAAGGAGATAGTAGATAGTCGGCT